ATCCATCCATCCATCCATCCATCCATCCATCCATCCATCTATTTCTGGAGTAGATTTTCAAACATTCATGACAACTCTGTAACATTTCCACATTGGGAGGGCTCCATATGTTAGTTTTAACGGAGATGTGTTATCACTGCAGATTTTGCAGCCAAAACAAACCTCGCTGTGGTTGGTTTAGGGATGAGCTGCAGAATTCTGTGTTTGCCTGACTACACTTTGACAGTGTATGATGTGCACCAATGTCCACCTTCCCTGGAATGTGGTGTGATAGAAGTTCTGCCTCCATTTTCTTCTGATGATGACAGACAGCACACCCTTCGTTTTGACCCAACTCCCAGTGATATTAACCTCTGCTGCTGCTATCACAACAACTTTCTCCTCCCCCTACTTTGACATGTGCGTGTTCCATGCATTCACAAAACTGAGTTGTCATCATAAAGGGGCAGAAATAAAGGTTGCTGACGGCACAATCATGGCAGAAATCTTTAGACAAATCTTTTTTTATGCTGGTTTATTACAAAGAAAATAATAATAAGGTGAGGGAACCAGATGTGAAATGAAGAGGCCAAAAGAGAAAGGAGATGATGAGGATGAGCCAAACAGAAGAACTGGTGCTAGAGTGAGAGTGCGGATGAAGGATGCAGACTGAAAGAGGAACCATGAAATGAAAATAGAAAACTCTGCTTGGAGAGAGAGAGACAGAGGGAGAAATAGAGAAAATTCTGATATCTGCAGCACCCCAGCTGTGAAGCTTAAGGAGCTTAGCCCTCCTGCCCATCACAGCAGAGTCCTCAAGAGCATGCATCCACTGCTGCTGAGCAACTACTGAGAGTAAAATGAGCAAGAGAAGCAGAGAAAACAGGTGTGGGTGGGGAGTATGGAACATTAAACAGAGGATGATGGTGTGGGTTTATAACACAGTAGTATGACCTCCTTGTGTCAAAACATATATTTGCTTCAAGTTTCCATTTTCATATAATATTCAACTTCACAGTAACAGTTTCACCATTTTTTAAAACGCTCACAATCCTGGGAGTTAAATTAACACAGCCTCTGAATAAGTCTTTCAAGGGGTCGACTGTGGCTGTAATGTGTTGGAAATAAGAAGCTAGAGAAGCATAGCATGGAGGCAAAAAACAATAAGGCTACACGCAGCAAAATTCTTTTGCTCTTAATCCATCAACATACATCTTGCTCGCGTCTTTAAACACCATGAGTGATGGTGGATATGATAATGTAAAATACAAGCTTGAGCATGGCATAAATAAAAGAGAAAATGTACATGATGACATCATTATAGGAGCAAAAATGTTGTTATTGTTTTACTCATATATTATGGAGGGGACCTGACTCACTGATGAAGCACATGCAAAATGCTAAGTTCACAACTGCCCTTTTTTTCCTCTAGCAAAAAAAAAAAATTGAGGGAGGAGGTCAGCTGCTGTCATTTACGAGCAACTGGTCTTCTCAAGTCAGGGTCTTCCTGCAGTTTACAACACTGGCATAATTAATGATACGATCTAATCTAACATCTACAGCGAGCGTTCCAGCTGTAAAATACTGTTTCATAAGTACACTTTGTTACTGTGTTCATGTTTCTTGCATGTGTCTTAGTTAGCACTACTAAAAATTGTAATCAGTTGGATTATTCAGTATGAGTTGTGCTCTTTCATCCTTTCAAATCGCTTGGATATCAAATGTTCCTTTTCTGATGCATCTGTTAAAGGAAGTGTAAACCGACCTGGGCCGGTCCCTGCCTTCCTCAGGAGCCCACCTGTCATCCCACCTGCCCTTGACATGAAGCACTTCCTCCAGTTTCCCCTGGAATCACCTCATCCGGCAAGCATCGGCCTCTTCCACAACTTTAACACAGTGAGTGCTCACACGCCTCGTGATCTCGTGTTTCTGGGCAGAGCGTCTGGGATTTGTTATCTCTTGTTTTGCGAAACAGCAGAATCAGGTGGTATTCAGCTGTACCTTCTATTGCTACCTCATAAGTGAAGGCAAGTGATAAAGTGATAGGGATTTATGTTGTGTAATCTGAAATGATTATGAGACAGCTGTTTGTTTTTTTACCCTGCACAGTGAGTTTCAGCATAATTGAGAAAATGCCCTGCCGAGTAATTTACTGCAATAAAATGAGTTACAGCTAATCAATTGAATAAAAGGCACAGGCTCTGTTCTCTGCAGTCAGCATTTTCTTTGGCTCCCTCTCATTTCTAGATTGTGTTTCATGTGAAGGTCGGCATGGTCACAAACGGGGTTGCACACACATGCACAAACACACACACTTTATATTGTCAGCTCATCTGCATGCTCAGGCAAAATGACCTCTCTGCAGGTTCATCATCCATCCTTTCTTTATGGAGGACATTTTGTTTCTGGCACTCATGTCAAAATGCCTCAATTCAAATAACTCTTTCACTTCACAAGAACAATTTACACAAGTATACAATAGCGTTGCCAATTGTTGATGGATGGCCATAAGTGCATCTAAACCATTATTAAAAAGAAACAAAGGCTCACAGACTTCAGAGCGGAGGCTGCAGGAACCTAAAAGACACGAAGAAGGGCAAACTGGAAAAATTTCTTGAAAACTGGTTTTATTTTTTTCAACATAGTTTTACTACTGTTTGGATAACAACACTCCCATAGAGTAAGATCTAAATTTGTATATAGAGAGACAACTGAAAGTAACAGAAATGTCAGGTTCTAGTCATGTTCTTGCATGAAATTTGGTCAGTGACGGGAAAATAAGGTTGGACAATTGGCCCCAGTTACCCTCTTTCATTTATGAATTATTTGTGTGGGATGTATTCTCATAATTGGAAATAGTCCAGACTGATGCCTAAACTGCACAGGGGACAGGACAAGATGCAAGTAATGTGCTGCCGGAATTTCACTGTTGCTTCAACAGCACACAAAGGACCAAGGTTTACGGTCACATCCAAAAACAATCAAAAACAGTCTTAATGTGAATATTCCAAACATATACGTGTGTACACACAATAATGTTGAAAAGGATAACATCAACTTACTGACAGACAGGAAAGTAGTACAGGCAGAAACATAACGAGCACAGACCCTCTCTTTGTGAACAATTACCTGCTTTATACATATATGAGATGAATCAGGCTTGTATCTAATATGGGGTAGTGACAGGTTGATATGAACATGACGTCTGGTTCAACACATTTTAACACGTGAGTTGTGACAGTTCATTGATGAAAAGATTCAAAGCTGCACTGCAGATGCAAATGACACGATTCTAAACAACCCTCAGAAGAGCTCTGTTGTCATTATAATAGTATGTTTTTCATAGTAACTACTGCTATCAGTAACAATAAAAGACAACATTAACACACAAAGTTGAATAACACCTTCGCTACAGGTTGTTGTATTCTTCTACACACAGAGCAGATTTCTACAAGATTAAAAGCCCAATGACTTTATTGCTTCTGACAACAGACTTTCCAGTATCTGGCAGGGAATATAGGTTGTACCCAGTCTTTTCTGTACTGCCAACTCAGTATCCCAACAAATAGTGGAAATGACAAGGAATGAAATCCATTGAGGAACTCAGTCAATGCTACAAAACTAAATCAAACATTTACAAAATTTAAAACATCAGCCATTTTGGGACAGGAGTCATACTTGGTTCTTTAGCTTGTTGGTCTTGTCTGTAGCTCCACAATCCAGCCTTGTCATGTTTCAATAACAGAATTTTTGTTGGACAGGATGTTATAGGTCTCTAGAATAACATTTCTATTATTTTTTTTTGCATGTCATTTGGTCACTTGTTGATTTGTGTCTACGGAAACGAACTGGTGGGTTTATATTTGTTGTGTGTTGTAACACTGTGCTGAATAATTAGATTTTCAAGTGCCAGTTTTTGTCAAACATTATTGTCTGACATCTTGTTCATGAGAGTGCATTTCAGTCTTGTAGTCTTGATTTTGAACAAATGGATAGTGAGTGATATCTGACACAGCTCTTTCATCGTCTGTTTGTGCTTTGGGTTTGTGTTCGCAAAAAACACACCATCTGTGAGCACAGGTGTTATAAATTCACCTGGAATTAATTCTTGAGGGATAAAGCATGTTACTTATAAAATAAAAAGTGGGACAGCTGAGAAATACAAAAAAATGTGGATACAATGCATACACAGTATGACAGAAGCTCCATTGTGCTGTATGATGAAGGAGGAAGTGAAAGAGCAGACAAAATGTGGACTAATAAGTTAATGAGGTTAATACAGCAGAGACAAAAGCACAGATGGAGAACCCGATGAGAACAGGTGGCCAAAGAATGGGACAGTGTGATTGGACACCAGGGAGACATCAACATGGTGGTCTGCAGGCCAGTAAGACACAGAGAGGACACAGGTTTTTTCATCTTACCTGCCATATGTACACATATGTAAAACGCACATGCACTCCATCAACACACGGTGCTGGTGTGGTAACAAATGTACATCTATAAAAACAAAACAGTTTAGATGTGGTTATAGGCCTCTACATGAAAAAAATAACAATAGAGATGGACACTGGAGAGAAAAGAAGGTGGAGGGAGGCTAGAATTTAATAATATATTTCACAGTGTTTAAGTTTTCAGACCACTTACACACTATCCCATGGTGCCTTAAGCTGAGCTGTGTATATGGTCTCATTTAGCAAGGTACATTCTCTCTGAGCCTGCGATGAGAGGCGGATTTCGACCACAGTGTGCGGTTAAATTAAATGCTCCTGTGGTACCGGAGAGCTCACACTAGTCACTGGGGTTGTCTGAAAATGAAGTAGTAATACATTTCTAAGACAATAACATGGCTCATAACTGTGCTGGATATGGAAACAAGGTTTTCGCATTGCTCTTTTTGTAAAGATCTTATAATAAGGATATTTTCTTATCTTCTATTTTACTGTATTGTTTCATTTGATATGATGGTTTTCCGACAACTAAAAAACAGAAAGTTCTGCAAGATTTACCGACAACAGGAGTTCTCAGGGATAGGGAGACAGTAATTAGGCTCTTCTAGCCCTGGCATGAATTAAAGCATTTGAACAGCTCCCAAAAACTCGGGCACAGGCAGCTGCAGCAGATGCTGCTGAGAGAACACTCACCTTCCTGTCTACATCAATCAAGGCCTCCTCTTCAATACAACCTTTTCTTCTATAAGCCCCAGCTTCCTCTCTGTTTCAGTGGCACCCTCTGTCATTCATCTGTACTTTTTGCTGATCCACATTTACTCGGCGTTCAGCGCTCTGTAGATTAAAGAAGCAGCTACTGTCTGAATTTCTCATGTACTGCTTAATTTTTGATGTGGCCTCTGGGATTCCTCTCCTCAGATGGACCCTGTCCAGAAGGCTGTGATGACCCACACCTTTGGGCCACCTATGGTGAAAACAAAGAGGCCAATAATCTCCTGCAACGTCTGTCAAATACGCTTCAACTCAGAGGTATGGGAAAAACAACACAGCGGAAATTAATATTTATATTTTCTGCATTTCTTTGTTTAAATGTGCATTCACAATTTGCGATACTAGACATTAGAATATGTGACAAATTAATTCCCTGACTTCCAGAGTATGACATCATCATAATACAACATATGTCATTATGCTTGAATAAAAGTAATCAGTACTATATTTGTAATATTAGTATTTATTATCATAATATATTATGATATTTCAGCCAGATTTACAGAATTTTCATGTCAGTTTACAGTTGTTCCAGCTGATGCACACACACACAGGAACATGGGATGCTTACATGCCTCGGCTGTTATTGACCTTTGACTTTCTTTATACGGCACTGTTTAGCATGATGTTAAACATTTCACTTAGATTCAGACGTATTGAAGCTTAATTTTCAACCACTTGCTTGCTTTTTATAAATACACAGTGGCAGTTTGTCATCTTCAGGTGTTTCTTTTTACTTCTATTGATTAATTTAACTCTTCATTTTCTTGGTTGATACAATCTTCATCAGTTTCAATATAAAAGTCTTACAAAAAGGTTGATTCTTTAAATCCTTTTTCATTTGTTCAATTGTAATTTGTAAATTGTAATTTGTTTTATTAGTATTTCATTTCTTATGACATCTTTGATTTCCTCACCATAGTCTTGTTTTTTTAAGTATGTTCTGGAATGTCTGAATGTTTGTTTGTACATACATATTTGTGGTATGTCCATTGTAATGATTAATAAGAAGTTGCATTAGTACTCACTTGACCTTTAAGAAATAAGAAAAGCACCTCTTACAAGCAGAATTTCACAGAAGAAAAAAGAAGAGAGGTTAAGCATTCTTCTTTAAGTGAGTGTTGACATTCTGACATTTTTGGAACTGGGCTTGTGTATTTTTCCACAAATGTTTACAGAGAATGTATATATTCTCAGATATAATTTTGTGTGTTCCACATGATATGGTCCATCCAACCAGTCTCTGATGGGACACTTTACAGCCCTGAACAAGACATCCTGTTTTTACTGAAAGCGTCATGTGGAATGTGCACATGTTAAATCACAACCTAAGAAGTGACGGATCTGGAATCAGTGTTAGTGACTGACAGCACAGCTGGGATCAGGTGAAAAGTTGGTTCACAGTTTCTCAACTCCAATTTTAGCTTGTCATGGCAGAAGGGTGGGGGGCAGAAAGGCAGATACTTCTGTTTGTTTAACCTACACTGTGATGAATGGTCGAAGTTTCCATCTAATATTGTGTGGGAGAAGTTTGCATCTTGACCAAAAATGAAGAAATCCAGCGACAACGCTGCTGATAACTTGCAGTCGTTTCCTTTTTACAAAAGGTTGTGTGTGGAAATCTTTTGATAGATGAGAGAGCATGTGAGCTTAGAAATACATGTATCAGTCTTAAAACCCAATGTAATTTGAATAGTAGATCCAGCTGATGAGGTTTTAATGCACTGTTTGTAGGATGTGTGAAAGCTGGTGTGAGGCAGGACTATCCATCACAACTCTTCCTCCTGGCTGGTTCACAGCTGATCAAGCACATTTTCTGCATTTTACTCTTGACAGCCAGCGCCTTGCCAGCACAAGGCAGGGGGTCTGAAATAAAAGAGGCCTAAAAAAAAGTCATGTAACTTTAGAGGAATAATTCAAGTGTCCCCATTAAAACTGAAGTTAACTGAAGTTGAAAAGCAAATAAGTCATTATGTGAGCATCCAAAAACAACTGGCTGGCATGACTGACATGCTCTATGTCACATACTGGACCTAACAAAGTGGGTGGTGAGTGTAAATAGATGGAAGGAAGCCACTCTTAATAGTTTTAGGTTACTTTTCTACAAAATAACAATTAGATTAGGATTTTTTTCATTTTCAACATTTCTGAAAGGATTACCCTCCTCTAAAATATAAGGTCATGGGTGGTTGACGAAACTGACCTAGAATTATGCAAGAACATCAAGCTGCCCGTAGTGGTCATCAGAACAACTGCCAGCGATTCATAGAAATGGAGTCTTGAAAAAGAAAGCAAGCAGTCAGCTTGTACTAAGAATACATTAATTCTCTTCCTGACCTCATTGGCCTCAATTTTTACTTCTGAACTAATGTTACTACCTAACCTCAACCAGGAAGTGGCAGAAACGTAAAGTAAATTGGTATTTACAAAACCTTATCATCGGTAGAATTTCAGAGTAAACTACCAACATGTTTTTTTTTGCATTCATACAACTTATATCTTCTGAATAAGCTGCACTATCATCAGAAATATGTCTCTATTTTCTACAATCAATAGTGATAAAACTGTCCTGAGGCACAAACGAAACAGTTACGTTTTATTTGACAAATGATTTAATACTGAAAGGGCCGCTGACAGTTGGAAAAAGCTTGGTGTTTATGACCTGCCGCTGTAACCTCTAACCTAAACATGAGCAGAAATCAAACAAAAGCCTTGTGTACATGTCTGGCTAAAAATATGACTCTATTCCAGGGCTTGAGTGCTAAATATTTGCACGTTAAATGCAGCAGTGTGTAAAGGACACAGGCTGGAAAGACGTAATCTGAAACCTGTGTAACACTGCCCTGCTCACTGATTATATTCCTCCTGCTCAGACCTCACATGATCTACATGAGGATGGTGCGCCTAAGTGGCGAGCATTTTTCAATTGCTTCAGCATGTTCATATTTACATTCCATAACACGTGTGAGTCCACCCAGTGTTTATGTATGAAAAACGCGTCCTCGCTCATTTCATGCCAAGCTACATGGTGAGAAGTCTAATACGTGGACACCTGTTTGGCCGGCCTGCTGCTGTACTTGGGAGCCACAGTGTGCATCTGCTCTGCTGCAGCTCTACGCCACTTTCCACAGTAACCTGAGAGACTAGAAGCTAAAGCACGATGGACATTCTTTAATAATGAAGGGATGCTCTGCTTACAGTGCACTACTTGGCTTACTCATGCTGCCTTGGTTGCAGTTGTAAGGCAGATAAGTATTTGATTTTTCACAGCTTTATACAGATCTTTAGGTTCATACAGATCTTTTGAAATCATATAAAGATCTCCGTGTCATCTGACTAAGGCTGGAAGTTCAATGCAAATTGTCTATTACGAAGTGACAGGGACAGATTGGTTAATGGTGGCTGCTGAGAGGCAGGTGTGACTTACTGCTGCTTCATTTTACCCCCACATGTTGTCATTATACCACTGCAATTCATTGCAGGCCACAGAGGACAGATTAGCCTGCCAGTGTTCAGCTCAGCTTTGCTGCAAGGCTGACGTCACACCGTGCTGCATTAGCCATCGTCACTGCTGTACCAGGCTGGACAACTCTCCCTCTTTCTTCCTCTCTTTTCTAGTTTTCCTCAGGCAATGCATGTTTCATTACAGATCTGTCTATGAGACAACTCGCCATTTCCATTTTCTATGTCACTTTCCATGTCGCACTTCTCTTTATGTGAGGTTCCATACTGAATACCATCTCCCTTTCTCCTGTTCTCAGGCTTCAATCCACCCCCTCTTGCTGTCACTGCTTCTTGTCCTCTGTATACCAGATTTGGCAACTCGGCCAGCTCTATCTCCTTTCTGTGCTTTTGTCACTTCATAGATAAAACATCAAAGCACATCCTGCTTAGGGAGAATGGGGATTTTATGAACATTCACTTGCTCTTATTCTCTCCTTAAATCCCATTTCTGTATCTTCATTCATTTAAATCCTACTTTCCATGGCTCTGTCTGTAGCTTCTTACAGTTCTTTTCATACACTATGCTGAACTAAATGCATATTTAATCATATTTATATATTATCAGCAATACTGCATAAAGAGAGATAAAACATGAGACTGAATTACAATCTGAATATATTCCACTATTTAAAAAAGATCAAGGCTAGCCCACTAAATTCAAATAAATACCTGGCATGATTTCACCATACAGGAATCTCTAGGGTTCAGCTCGGCAAGGAAACTGAACTGAATGCAACATTGTTCAAATAATGTATTTTAAAATGAACTGTCCCAGTAGCAAGACAGGCTTCTATCATTCAGCAAGACACATTGCCTTTTTAAGCACTCCGACATTACAACACCTGTAACCCTAAAACCAATCCAGCAGGATAAAGATACCTCACAGTGATGGAAATCTCAGAATATCAGAGACAGGTTTTTATGGAATGGAAAACGTTTTTAGCATCTGTTGAAATATTGTCAACATTGAAAATATCTCTGTCAAATCTGAGGAACATGTTTCCAATTTGTGGATATTTTTTGCTGTGGTACTGCCAAATCTGCAACATATATTGAATTAATTTCATGAATGGCAAAATACTTGTTTTTAAGTGTAACTTGTAATGTTGCGATTAAATTAGGCTATGCTTAAAATGATGTCCTTTTTAATGACCTTTGGAAAAGTAAAGCTTTAGAAGGTTACAGAAAGGAGTCAGAATAAGAAATGGAGTGCAAATAAGTGATAAAAAACAGGATATTTCTCCTTTCGAGGTCCCTGCCGTTGTTTGTGTTTTGATTCACAGGCCTTCAGTGAACTGCCTAATTGCTGCGCTGTGGGGAGCTGCAGCCAGTGGGGTTGTGTTACATGGCCAGAGCTATATCTGCCTATCTGTCATCACCAATCAGGATGAGGGCTATATGGGTAACTATCATTGGCAGTTAATACCTCAGGCTTACAGCGGCATCCTGGACATGTCCTAGTCGTCCCTCTTCCTCAGAGCCCCCAACATGTACCTGTCACGCGCCTTATGTGGTTTCCTAAGCCATGTTATTGATACAATGAAATATATCCAACTCTAGAAGGTTTTCGCTTGTGTGTACACATGCACATTCAGTCACACACACAGTTTTGTATTACTGCTTTCAGGAGTGTTTGTGGACTATATCTGGGCACTCACACCTCCGTCTTTCCTCTGATTTCATTAATGCAGGCATGTAAATACACAGTATACCTGGACTTAAAATGCAAGAAAATGTGTACATTTAGGTATCTCTTGAATGTGTTTTCATATTGAATAATTCTGCACCTTGATTGATATCCAGCAGCGATGTTGAATAACTGTGCACTGATCCCTGTGTGTAGTTGGGCAGAAAGTGAGTAATGGGGTGGGATGGGCATCGGGGTCTTCACTGTGTGACAGATTTCCACAGAGTTATGCCTAAAAGTATGTTCTTTCAGTCATTTTCACATTCTATTACAAGCCATCAAACACATGTTTTAGTTTAGAAAACATCAGGAAATTATAACCAGGTTTTTACAAATCTCTCCCAAGAGATCTCTCCCAAAGTAGAAGAGTTACAGCACGCCACTGTATGGCAACTTTTTTTTTAACAGAACATACTGATAGGCAGTTTCATTTTGGACAAACTTATTCAAGGTTTCTATGCCTTATTCACAATTGTGAATATTCCTCCGCTTTGACTTTTGATATTTTTCTATTCTAAAACTAACACAAAAAACAACTAACTGCTTTTATCAAAGGCATATTTGGAAATAGGAATTTTGGAGCAAACCCATGGGTTGTTTCCAAGGAATTTTTGAAAGGCAACTACATTCCACTTGGAGAAAAGAAATAAGTCCAACTGTGCAACCCCACAGCTAGAGCTCATGGGAATGTCTTTACATTTGTCATTTTCTTCTGAATGTTGAACTAATTCTCTTCAGTGAGCCCTCAAATAAACATTTAATGTCTCTCAGCAGCTGACTGTCAACTGTCACTGGCAGACCTGTTTTAGATAACCCCAGCACTCAATAATAATAATAATGTACTCAGCAGGTCAGTATGGTGATTACACCAGCGGTTTAGGAAGACAAGAGTATTCCAGAAGCTAATCCTTCCTGACAATTTAATCAGCATGTCATACCAGCAAACCATCAGTTCAGTCTGACACCAACTGAGGGACGCACAAGCAGAAGACAGGCTTCATGCTTGAGAAGATTTTTAGACTAAGAAAATGTTGACTGGAGATGAGGTCAGAAACCTGGGACCCAGAAAAAAAAAGGTCTGGCTCCTCAGATTAAATTATTGCTATTATTGATTGGTACTGAACAGGAGAAAGGATGACAGGTAGAGGTCAATGTGAACCTCAGAAGAACAACAACAAAGTTTAGTAAAACACAAGGTTTTCCTCAAATAAACCCTGCTGAGTTACAATCTAGTGAGGGCTGGATGTGAAGCCGAGGTGTACTGCAGTTGTTGGCTAGAGGATAGGTATCAAGTAGACATTTTGATTACAAGAGAACACCAGCCCCACACTCACAGATTGACACAAGATCAAATTCCAGTGCTTGAGGGCTGCTGTCCTGCAGGTTTTAGACATGTCTCTGCTTCAAGACACCTGATTTGGATTAAACAGATCTCTTCAAAAGTTCTTTTCAAGTCTACTAATGGTGCCATGATTTGAATCGGGTGTGTTGAAGCAGGAAAAGATGTCCTGGCTTAAACGCTTACCTATTTCTCAACTTTTCACTTTGAATCCTCCTTTTCAATTTGAAAATGAGGACAAACGGTTGAGATGACAGGGGATTTAGTTAAATTAATCCTTGCTTCAGATTCATCATTTTTAAATGGGCTTGAAATAAATATGAAGAAATCTCAGAAAGACTTCCGAAAAGGATATGCTGGTATGTGACTGTTTTTCCACCACCCTCTATTTTGCTTTTGCTCTCTGTCTTGCCTGCTCTTTCCCCCCTATGTGATGCCCCACCTTTATTTAAAACTGTTTCTAAAATACTGGAAATAAATATGAAAGGAAAAAAAGTAAGGAATGAATGTATCAATAGTCTGTCTGATGGAATTTGGGTGGCTGGTGATATGGATGTCAAAATGGAAAAAGGAACATCAACAACATTTTAAATGAAGAAAAATAAAATCAAAGCTGACCTAAATTTTGAAAGTAAACATATTTCTTTTTTTTTATCAGAGCCAGGCAGAGGCCCATTACAAGGGGAACCGCCATGCTCGGAGAGTGAAGGGTATTGAAACATCCAAATCAACACGTTCACAAGATGGAGAGAGGCAGCACCCTCCCCCACCTGCTTCCCCCTCCCCGCCAGGTCTCATGCCTTCTAGCCCGAAGCCTGATCCTAATCGTAAGCACGGTGAGCATCACCTTTGATTAATGATGTTACACACACACACACAGCGATGAGCTCACAGGTACAGCATGACTGCTGTAGGTGTCCAGAAAAGATGCAAAGTGGGCAATGATCAGCGTCCGCTTCCTTTTGTCCTTAAAATTCTAGACACCAGCAAATTTGATCAAAATATGTTTAGCAAATGTTTATGAAACTGCATATCAAATATTTTACTGAAGTATAACACCAAAAAAACAAAAAGTCCCTAAGCCTCATCAAGCTAACATGTCATGTCACACTGGGCCGGTCAGACCTGCTGGCCAGTCCAGATGGAGCCACACAGCAGTGTGTTTGACCTCAGCAAAACAGAGCTGCAAGCACAGCACTTGTGCTTGAGGCATCACATTATTCTCAGACTTTTTTTATAATCCCAACTGGATGATGAATTATGTGACTGACCAGAACGTTGTACTGCTTACAGATGACACTCAGTCCAGTCCCAACCTGAAAGAGTCGCCTTTGACCGCTAACCGTCTTCCAACACCCCCAATGAGCTCAGCAGACCCAGAGTGCCCCCTTTTGCCATCTGTCAGCACCCCTTTGCCACCCTCCCCCTCCCCCTCTCCAGCCCTTGGTATCCCCTCTGCAGATCCAGCAGCGGCTGTTCTCCCTGACACCCTATCCCCAATACCGAGCCCATCTTCAGGAGAGTCAGAGGAAGAGAAAGCCAAAAAGCTTCTCTACTGCTCTCTGTGCAAAGTGGCCGTTAATTCCCTCTCACAGCTGGAGGCGCATAACAAAGGTTAGTCTAACATGAAGAAGCTCTATTAGTGAACATGCAGCCAATGGGGAAAATAAATCTCTACAGAATGAACATTAGAAATGCGCTATACATCAGGTTTAGATCCTAGCAAATTGGAGAAAAGTGAGAAAAGTGAGAAAACCTCACTTGTTCAGCCTTTTGTTTAACTGCCACCAAGTGGTCTAAATGTCTGCCTTAAAACCATGATTTTTTCTACTTAGATTTTTGGAAAATTGCACTCCACTAATGCATTTACAGGAAAGCCCTTAAATCACTACATGATGTTACATAAGTTGAGGAGCCTTAGAGGTACCTATTATGCCACGTGATACTCATGAGGCTTCCATTTATAATGGAAGTGCTAATGAAAATCCTTTTCTTTTTAACACTTAAAGGACTTTTCGCCCACATGGGCATAAAAGATGAGTGCATGAGCCGAGACAGAATGATTTCTTATTTATCAAGTTAAAGTAAGGCACAGGAAAGGTGACAGATGACAAAATTCTGACTTTTCCTTTGTAATGTTTACCTCCAGTCAGAGCATAAACCTTTTGGCATTAAAGGTTTATCTTTTGGAACACATCTATCAGTGTTCAAAGAATTAACCATGATATTGAGTTTTCCCTTTGGAGACACCTGTCAAACAGAGAAAATAAGGTTGACAGAAGGCTACATCAGATTTTAGGCTCACAGTCAAAGACACTGCTTCCTTTTTATGTTTCAAGGTACCAAACACAAAACTATCCTGGAGGCCCGAAGTGGTCTTGGACCCATTAAAGCATACCCACGCTTGGGTCCTAAACCCAGCCCTGAGCAGGGAGGGGAGGTGTCCTCTGACCCTAACACTCAGGAACGCACCTTCCACTGTGAGATATGCAATGTCCGAGTCAACTCTGAGCTGCAGCTTAAGCAGGTGAGAAACCACATGAAGAGATGCTGAACTTTTTTTTCTTTTTTTGCAAGGAGTGTTGCATCTGTCCCTTTTTTTATGTTGCAGCATATATCAAGCAGAAGGCATCGGGATGGAGTTGCAGGGAAACCTAATCCTCTTCTTAGTCGGCACAAGAAGCGCTCAGACTTTATGGTATTTACTGACTGTCTTTAAAAAAAATGTAATATTTCAGCTCTCTCACTGTCTCTCTTGCGAGGTTTTCATGTTTTTTGGGATCCTGATCTTTGGTGTTTCTCTCAAAGGAACTTCCAAAAACCCTTGGGGCTGGACTTTTACCAAATCCTCTCGCTGTTGCTGCAGCGATGGCAGCAGCAGCATCCTCAAATCAGCTCACACTACGTCATCCCGGCCCATCCTCCCACCCTCATCCCCATCACCACCTCCTACAGGGAACACCCCTCAGCCTGCTGAGACCAGCCCCAGGTCCCATCCGTACCACACATGGGCCAATCCTCTTCACTCCTTACTAATAGTGAGGGGACATGGATGAATCAGGAAGAAGCACACTGTGAAATGAAGGCAACCATGTGCCATTGAGAGCCAAATTTGCTTGTCTGGCTGGAACTCTAGTTTCATTACGATGACATAGATAGTACTATTCATGGTATAGAGGTGTTGGTTTCCATCTTTCCAGGTCACTCCATCACTTAACTATCAGTCAGTGATTAGCATGTCTGTGCAGATAGTCTGAAGAGGAACTTATGTCCAACTGTCTGTCCCTTCTTTGGGTATCTTCCAAACGACAGCTAAATATCCTCATTTATCACATGATCTGCTACACTGGACTTAAAACCCTACCTCTCTTATGTTTTAATGTTCTCTGCAATGGTTCATCAACAATATAAAGCATCAATATTATCAATAACATGGAGATAGATGTAGTAGATGCTAGCTAGGGTAATACTGTAGCTGTCATAGTATGGTGGTTTATACCACTCTAAAATTCTACCTTTGTGTTTAATGAAGAGAAAATGGTTCCCATAATTGACATATATATTCTGTAGTTTCTAGCAAGCATTTTCCCAAATGTTTGTCTTTATTTTCACAACCAGTCTATATTTCCCTCTGTGGGACATAAACAAGAGGTCAAATTAAAGGCGCAAAAGGGCAGAAATGACACGAGACCCTAAGACTGAAACAATGTGCACATGAGCAACATTTATGGTTTGGAAAATGTGGATTTGCTTAGTGGAAGTAACTGCTGGTGCATCATGCAGCTGGGTATTTGATCTCATGCAGGACACATAATGCAACAAGGTAAAAGAAACAAAAAAACAAACAAAATAAAAACAAGTAGAACACCTAAGGAATACCTATTCTTTTCATTTCGGGGGGGATCAATATATAATGTCACCAACAAAAAAGTTTCTGAGCATTGCTGAATCACCACTTACAGCAACCATGTGGGCTAAAAACTCCCAAAGCAAGCACACAAGTAAGTATCTGTGGTGAGTGGTCTGCATGTCAGCATCCTATACATTTACGATGATAACCTGAAGGTTTCTCATATGCACTGCATTGCTAAATGCTTTATGTGTCTTTGTGGAATAATGTCTACATCAGGAGCACAGCAGGACAATGGTTCATTTATGACTTTAGCTGCAGGTTACTGTAACACGTGTACACAAAAATGACCACAGTTGTACACAAACTCATCAGAAGAAGCAGTGGTAGGAAAGACACCAGCATTATGCTATCACAGGACAAGAAAAGGACCATAAACACAGTATGCAAGGGGGAAACAAGTATAGGTTCTCTAGGTATTATAGGATTGTCCTGGAAAAAAAAAAATTAGGTTTGTCCTCTCCGCTTTGTGTAGTCTGACCCTCCATCACTCAAATGTCCTCTATGGCTTGTGAAACATTAGACGGAAGCATCAGGAAATGGGAAAGGTAGCAATACTTTATGCACTCCTGCTAACCTTTCTTGTCAACTGCAATAAAATGTCAACAGATGTATTAAATGTTATCTAGGAGATGTACTGAAACTTTGCTGTAAATGTAGATTATTTAAAAAAAAGAAGTGGTTCGTTTTTGGGCTTCCTAATCTGAACAAAGTCATAATATCATTAAACTGAATTTATGGTTGTAAAAAAGGTTGGTTTGTGGTTTTCTTTTTTTCTTTTTTATCATTATTTCCAAACATTAGAGGGCAATGTTTGACAGTTCTCCAGCACATCAGTTTACGGATGTTTAAACCATCTCTTTGTCTGATTGACTATTTGACCATCTTCACTTTGGTACCCCTTTTTGGATTAAAGAATTGGCATGGAGCGTCACTGGGTCGGTCAAGTCACTTACATGCTCATCAGCTAGAGTTTTCGTTTTTCCCTGGATTCTCTCTGTTTAGTATTACTGTAATATCTCAGATAACATCACATAAATAACTGAATTCAGGCAATTTTTCTTCTTATGCTTCATATTCAAATAGACTGAACTAACAGTAAAACTGTTGAGCAAAACTGTCCAAGACCTTTCAAATTCTTATCATAACTTGTCACCAATATGAGATTAAGATCAGCCCTATCAATAATGTGTGAGGCTGGGGATATGCTTCAAAATCCTTCATCTGCAGTCACAGATGTGTCACAAAAGATGCCAGATAGTATAAACTGAATTCAAATGCCAGTACTGCCACACTGTGGTGAGAAAAGGCCAGCTCTCATACTCATACCATGAAGTAGCTCCAAATGTAGAAGCAGCATTGTCAAAAGCAAAGTCCACCATGGTCGTGATGGCAGTCACGTATTTATTTCTGTTTTTCAATCCAAATATAAAGTTGCAAACTATTTGATTCTGCTCTGTGTTTGATAAAACCTACTTTCACAACTGCTCCACATGTGAAGGCTTACCCTCTTTGGTTTTAGAGAATGGTCCATATTTGCCTTTCTATGACAGAAACAGTGAGTCAGCACTCTTCCAGAGGACAAAGTGGCATGGGCAAAGGTTTTCAATCAAAGCTTAGGCTGTAAAAACAAACTTGCCACAGGGCTTCTGCTGTACACAACCATTGAAGATTAATCGTATTGTGTGTGATACATATTTTTAGGTTTGAAAACTGATAGACAAATATGGACGATCAAGTCAAATAATACAGATACAAAAGCTTTGAATGTAACATAAATATTTTATTTTTCTTCTCCTTTTGGGTTGAGGTTGTAAATCTAAAAGTAGCCAGGTACTTTTTGTCTGAAGTAGACACTTGTAACATTCCATTTCCTCTCATAACAGTTATAACATTTATAACAGTATATAGTTCTACAGTTTGATAGGATCAAACAGGAATTTTACTTTTTAACCTAAAACGCTAGATTGATAAAATGACAATCTTTGTTCAAGCATATATAGAAAATAAGAATATGCCAATGACCCTGAAAACCTTTCTGTGCCTTATCTTATAGATTCAAGCATAGTATAATAATCAGTTGATGACAAAGGTATTTGTTTTATTTATATGTGGTTTTAACTCCAAACACCATTACCAGTCCATTTTTACATGCACATTTGTTTTTCTCAGAAATCACTTGGTAAGATTTTTTCAAAAGGTGCTGCACAGATTATGCTTCACCTTACTATAAAGTGTAAACTACAGAAAGCATGAAGTTTATTGTCACAAATGTGAGTGTCATGAACATTAAGGCAGCAGCTAAATTTCTACCATTCTGCTACTATTAAGAGGACAGACTCAAAGACAGCATTGTTTGTGGGCATTTCTTCATTTATACAACATATAATTCTCCAATATACTGACAAGCAAGTTTAAAAATTTCCCTAAAGTATCTGTGTCATCAGTGGTTCCTTACACATGTAAAAATATTACATTGTCATGCAACTGCCTGCAGTCTAAATGGTCATACTTGGGTTTTACAGCATGACTTATTTTTAAAACCCTGTAGCAGAAACAGGAAGTCTACTCTGAGCAGCTGTTCACACAGATTTCCTTTCTTATTTGAACTATTTGAATATTAATTATAAAACAAATATTTTAGCATGATAATAAAGCTGTAAAGCAACGCTGTATGAGACTTAATGATCATAGGTTAACGGAAGGATTTTTAAAAAATCGTTTCTTAACCAGAATACAGGTTTCCGAACTTTTGACTGCCACTGTACGACAATAGAACGTCATGCCAGCTACTCAGAGAAAGTCTGAGTTTTACAGACGGTTCAGGGGACAGATTCACCTCCCTATTTCAGCAGCATAACAATAACAGATAAGAGCATGGAAATCACAGCATGGACTATGGAACGTGCTTATGGACAAATGTAAAACAGTTCATATCTACATCAGCAAATACAGGCCTTGGCTGGTTTTCTTCGCTCATTTTCTCTTTTGAAATGTTGTACATTTCTATTCATGTGTCACTAGTTGGGAAAGTTGTCTGACGGGTTTTGTTTAACTTCCTTTTCCTGTTCAACTCACTCAGTCTCTGATGTGTCAGAGCAGCGAACATGTTCTGTCCAGCAAGGATTTGAAAACATTTTAGTTCCACATCAACAGAAACCGGTCATATCAGTTCCCAAAAGGCTTGGAGTGTGTTTAAACGTGTATTTTTTCATCAGAACAATGTATGGATGTAATTTATTTTATTTTTAATTTTAGCTATTTGAACATCTTTTTTTTTAAACGGTTGCATGATTGTAGAATCAGTTGCTGTGTAGCTAAAGAATGGGTTCTAAAATAAATTGTTTATTTGGTTATAAAAAAGATCTACATTGTTGAAATGTAATGATGAATATATCTAATTGTATTTCATTATGAACTTCCATGGTTGCTCTGTCCAAAAATAGGGTTTGTTGGAAATTTCACATCTCTTTTCCTGAGTTTAAAGGTGAAATGGGTAAACCCTGCCTTGTGTCATTTCATCCTGTGAGGGGAAAGCATTAAAGAGGATGTGCACAGACTGTGCAATGAGCTGGAAGAGAAGCATTAAAAGCAACTCTACAACAGAAGAAAGACCCAGAGACACACAACTATAAAGTGGACAGTAAGGAGATTTTCAAGGTGAGAACTGTTAAACGTAAACTGTTTAAAGCCTAATCCAAGAGAGAAAAAAATGAGTTTTTTTTCTTGTTTAAATTCTTTTTTTGACCTTTAACAAAATCTGAAAAGAATTAACAGAAACTATTAAGTATTAATAATTTATTACTGTGCGATAAGTCAAATTTTTTTGTCATGTATTCCGGTAGTTATCAGATATATCTGATGTCTACAACAGGGTTTTGATTGAATAGTTTTTACTATTGAATATGTAAAAGGTCTAATATGCAAAACATTTCAGAAACCGTACGTTAGAAATATGATACAGGGTTCAGCAAAAGAAAAGAAAACAAAAGTAAAACATTTTTTAATCAACTCCAATTTTAAATATGAATAATTGTTTATTTATTGTAGATGTTTTGTTGTATTCTTCAATATAAAGTTCCCCTTAGATTAATTTAATTGAACATTAACTAATCAAGAGTCACTTTGTGAAATTCAGGAATATTTTCAGTTCAGTTTAAATGGGAACAAATAAGATGAAAATACATATTATTCACAATAGCATAAAAATATTTTTAATGATCAGTACTGACACCCAGTAGTTTTAACTGTAGGCGTATTAATGTTACTATGAAACTGTAAATTCATTTAGAAAAAAAACATGAATAAGCAAAAGTTTCTCCACAAGTCCACTTCTAACTTCCCCCAGTGACAATGCAGAATTGAACTCTCCATGAGCACATTATGCTGAGGCTAACTCGTTCTTGATTTGACAGAATGTGGATGAATCAGACAAACCAAACGGACGATGACCTGTTCTCCTGCTACAGCCCCTCGGTCACTGCCTATCGCTACTTTGCCGTGCTGTGGGGCTGTGCTGTGACCCTCACCGGTACTGTGGGGAACGTGATGACCATTCTGGCCTTCACTTTGGACCCACGTCTGAGGTCACGCTTCAACGTGCTCATTGTCAACCTGGCTGTAGCCGATCTTCTGTACTGCACCATACTGCAGCCCATCTCTGTCGACTCCTACCTCCACCTCAGGTGGCGCAGCGGTCAGGTCTGGTGCAGAGTCTTCGGCCTGCTCCTCTTCCTCTCCAACTCTGTTTCCATTATCACTCTCTGCCTGGTTGCAGTGAGCAGATACCTCCTGGTTGCAAAAAGAGCGCTGTTTGAGCGTGTATTTTCCAACCGTGGACTAATTCTGCTCCTGATCTCAACGTGGGCGCTGGGCCTGGCGAGCTTTGTTCCGTTATGGCCCGTGTACGTGTTCGTGCCTCAGGTTTGCACGTGCAGCTTCCACCGTACCAGGGGTCGGCCCTACTCCACCATCATGCTTTTCCTCTACTTTTTCGTTGGGCTGGGCTGTGTTGGATTCTTCTACATGCTCATCTACAGGCGAGTCAAAGTTGCGTCGCAGGCTCTGCTCCGCTACAGGCTCAGCCGGCGCTCATCCAGGAGAGCGGCCTCCTCAGCTCAGGGGACTAATGACAGTGGAGTCGAGAGCGGAATAAAGACTTGCAGCTCAGAGATGAGCAGCCAGGTTGAACAACCCCAACGTGAGATCATTTATGAAAATGATCTGCCGCCATCCCAGAGTTTAGCCACTGACTTAAATTCATCAAAAGGCCCCAAACCTACTCCTGATGTCGTCACCGTGCCTTCTCCCGTCCCTGCTGCTCCTGCCCGTCCCACTGCGACTTCAGGGGATGACAATGAATTCAAGCGTGTGACACACATGTGCTTCACTGTCTTTCTTTGTTTTGTATGCTGCTTTGTTCCCTTCCTGTTACTGAACATAGCCGACAAACACAGCCGCGCCCCACAAATCTTGCATATGTTCTGTGCAAACCTAACCTGGCTCAACAGCTGCATCAATCCTGTCCTTTATGCGGTCATGAACAGACAGTTTCGACAGGCCTACCACGTCCTGCTCACAAGAGCTGCTGCGCCCCTGACCAAGCCCTGGTGGACCAGCACATGGTGGCACTGTCAGAAATCCTGATTTGAACTTGCTTGATCTTTTTATATTCTTCAAACACATTTGGTCTTTGAGTACTTAAATCTAATCTATTTCAATCACGTGACATGTTATTACATCGTACTGATGCTTTTTGTTGTATTTTCTGAGATGTTTTATGGCTGCTAATTTTTATTAATGTATATATATATAGTCATCCATATTGAATTTATGTCATGTAATAAATCCTGATTTAAGATAGGTGTATTAATGGATGTGCTCAGAAAAAGAAAAAAAATAGAAAGCGTTGCATGAACCATATGAAAACCCATCAATGTTTTGCTATCTTTACAGGATATTCCAGGCTGACACGACATATTTCATTTCAGTGACTGGAGCTTAAGACTTAGTCTCTTTTCTCTACTTCCTCTGTATGATTTTATAATTAATGAAAAAGAGGAAGAAGTAAATATGAGTAAATATATGTGGTCTACATAAATCTAGTCTTGTTTAAGTTGTATTGAAATATTAATCTGTTTAGTTATTAGATTCAGTTACACATCCAAAGTGTTGTTTAGTGGTTGAAAATACTTTTTTCTACCTTAGCTGATGTCTTCAGAAATATATGTCTTGGCTGGTACGAGGTAAAGGCCGTGCTCTTACACTCTTTTCGTAAGTTGACTGACAGACAATAAACCAGATTCTGTTGTAACTATTTGATCAACAATTGAAAAATATTTATAACTGCATCATTGTAAGTATAGTTTAAAGCTCCTTGGATCTTGCACGTCATATTCAGCCATTTTCTCACAATTCGATTAATCAGGAGACAATGAAAAAAAAATCTGATGCCCCACCTTGACGTTTTCAAAGACTTCTTTATGTGCAACCACAAACATTACAAAAATGTATGACACAGCAGGAAGGCTCAGTATTTTCATGTCATCACAAGAGTCGACAGATTGGAATGCAGTGAACTGCACTGTTAGACTTTGCACTTACAGACTGAATGTCTTGTTTTACAAAATGGCAACAGTAAAACAAACCCTATATTAAAGACTTTAGAAATAGATATAAGGGAAGTGGAAATATGGATGTGGTTTTCAAAAGTTTGTACATTTAGGGTGTTATGCTCTTACAACTGTTCAATTTAGATTATCATTATGAAAATAGATAGCTGTAAATTAGTGGAGCACTACATTTTCAGATGCTGTCACAGTATTTCTGCTGCCATTTTAGGAATTAAACCATAAGGCAAATTAATGACTTTGCACTTACTATGTAAGAGAGGCCTTTCTTCCAAAAAAATAATCATAGGTTCTCATTTAACAAGAAGTATTAATTTCATGTAAGAGAACTAATTTGAAATGTCTGAAATGTGAAAAAGTCTTCTAAAATCAGGTGCTTTCTCCAGTATATCAGCCACAACTGCCATGTTTTGAATATTAGAAATACAATCTAGAATTCCATAGTAATGTCAACTTCATTATTAGTGGTGTAATCCAACTACAAGCAGTCCATTTTTTCCACTGTAGTATGTCCAACTGCATATTCAAAAGTTGCATTCTTCCCTGGGCTAGGTCAACCTTTAGAAAGGATGCATGAGTAGACTGTTTTGTTCACTCAAATTCTGCTGGTAATGAACAGATAATAAACAAAAATCCCTTTTAAAAGAGACAATATTTTATTTAATTCCAATGAGACGGTTACAACAGAATCATTTATAATTGAATCAGATAAGTGCCATAGTCGAGTGCAATTCTTCACATGTTTTGGTTGGAAACCTACATAACAATGACACAAGGGTTAATGAAAAAAAGAACAACGCACAGGAAGTTTGTGTTATAGGGCAAAATCAAAAATCTGCTCTCTTCAAGGTCAGTTTTCTACAACCCTGTACTATGTCCTACCCTCATATTAAATGGGATATAACTATTTTAAAAGTCAGGATTATGCGAGTCCAGCTCATTCATACAATTTTTTTAAATCCAAGTTATTTAGTACTAACAACTGGGATTATCAGATGGGATAATTACATGATATGAGAACTACTAGCGATCTATTGTGGTTTGTTAAGTTGTTTTTGTTTTTTCTAGATACAAGTTACAATTTAATGAGCTAATGCTAAGAAAGAGTGGCGTATGGTGCTTTGCTTAAATACATTGATGTCTATTAGAAAATGCTTCCCGACGGTTGTGTGGCCAAAAAGTTAAATCCTGGGAGTTGGTTGACATCCAACGGGGTCAGCTCTTGTTGCGAGAAATCACCGCCGTCAAAGTTGTTGGGGTTGTTCAGGAACATGAATAAATCCTCAGTAGAGCCACTCAGCATGGGGTCAGCGGAATATGGTTCTAGTTCAGCAAGGGGATGCTCTTCTTGTTCTGAGAGGAGAAAATTGGAAAAGACAAAGTTGTATCTTTTGTCCTGGTTGTGCCATTTATTAGTGGTATGATACCGCTTTCACAGGGGAAATGAAAGTGAAGAAAATGTGATGTGCTCTGAAGCAAAAAAAGGAAAGAAACCACAGGGTAGTGCTGTTGAACTCCACAGCCCATGAAGACTTCATGGATTTTGTGCATTTAACAACAATGTTCAGCTAAACAGCACCAGTTCAAGTAGACACAGTAAAGAAATACCCAAATTTGATTTTTTTTGGACAAAGTTTCAATTAAAACTGTTTATTTTGCAACCACCTGAAAAAATGTATTCCTTAAATGTAAAAAAAAAGGACCAACATGCCCCCAAGCTTGCTATTCAATCAGTGTAAAAAAAAAAAATGTTTTTAAAGAATAGTTTCACAACCTGTGAAAGCCCTGAAACCCTGCATTAATTTCTGTGAAATAGAGATAAAAAGATCAGATCAGGCTGGGAAAATTAAATCAGTTTGTTAGTAAGCGATCTGCACAATGTGGACCCCTCCACAGGGAACCAGAGAGTGTGAGCATGCAAAAGAAGCCCCGATGCTTTCCTCAGAAATTTAACAGTACAAGAGTTGTAACCAGACATGCTCTGTTTTTTAACAGCATGCTCCCCCCTGATACCAAACTAGAGTTAGTGACAGAGCTCTTTGATTAGAGGAGTGACTGCTCGACAATGATTTTAACTGGATTGGACACAGCAAGGAGAGCCATGACTCACCACTGAATGGCTCCAGGCCTGCACCCTGTGCCACGTCACAGGGCAAGGGTGACCTGGCCTCCAGTGTGTTCCTACGTGACCAATAACAGACAGTGATTACACAAATACGGCCGTGGCTACGCTGCTTCTTAGATAAGTTGCACTTTAGTCCGTAGAAAATAAGGGGGAGGTTTTGTTTTGCTTTCGAACAAGTCGGAGTAGCTAAATATAGCTCAATAAATGTATGATGTGTACTTACTCTTTTGAAACAAATACCAGCTTGGTTTTGATGTATTTAATGTAAGGACTGTCCTCTGAAACAGAACAAATTAAGATGACATTTAATGATTTTTTTCTGCAAGGTAATTCGAATAAGAAAGAAAAGTGAGTTGAATTTTGGGGGTATTTTTCCCCAAAATGTCAAAGTGGAAGAACATCATCCTCATACCTCCAGTCTTATTAGAGTAGTATTTTCCAAAAGCCTTGTCTTTTGGGGTGTCGGGATACAGGTAGAGTAAAGGATTTTCTGGGATATTCTCAGCCTCTAAGATCTGGAAATTCCTGATGATTTCATGAAAGGGAATCTGGGAAAGGTCAACTTTGTTGAAAGGCTGGACTGTCTTTATATCAGGCTCGCCTAGAAAAATCATGAAAATCAGCATATGAGAGTCAGCTTTTCAAAATGTATGTCTTCAGAGTAAAACTTTCAGACTTTTTTAAAGTAAGAAAAACACATCTCACCATTCGATTTGATTTCCACCCAGGAGAAGGTGATTCCTCCTATGACACTTTCACTAAAGCGCAGCAAGAATGTACCTCTCTTCATTTTCTTCAGGAGTGACTTCTCTTTGCCTTTGCTCACAAAACCCATGATGTGGCTGCATTTCAGAAAAAAGTATTAACTCAAACACGGCACAAATTAAAAACCTGTTTTGTTTTTCCCACACTAATGAAATCCAATAAAGCTGGAAGTCATACATTTCTCATTTTTACAGTATGAAATGCAGAATTAACAACATATTCAGCAGACTAACCCTTCCCTCCAAAGGTCTTCCAGGTATGTTTTTACCATCACCAAGATACCATCAAACCACACCCATAAAGTATCAGGGGAGTTTTCCTAAAACAGAAAAGGTATTAAAGGTACTATAATGAAATATGACAATCATCCCTGAAAACGTCCATATATTTTGGCTAAGCAGGATTAATATTACTTAGTCTACACACAACACATAATATTAGTATGCACACATTCTTTGAATTGGATGAATGTTGCAAGCAGCTGAAAAGGAAAGGAGCACTTTATCCACAATCATACACTAAATGTGAATTTAAGATAACACAACGCATGTGACGTGTAAATCTAGATACTGAACTGTGCTATTTTATACCAAGTTGTCTAGAATTCCACATTCTTACCTTGCAGAATTTTGACCATGTTAATTTGCAGATGTCATAGTTCTGCTTCTTGCCTGGCAGAATAAACAGAGACAACAGAGTTACATTATGTAAATACACATACTGCTGTAACCTGTTGTAAAATCATTTATTCAAGGGCACTGAATTATGGTTTATGGCATCAGAATACTATTGGGTTTTCACATTTTGCATCGCTGTTAACAGTTTAACCTACATTCAATTCTAGTTTATACTTCTGAGTGAGAAAGAAAAAGCTAAATTTCATCCTTTTTGGTTGAAGAAAAAGTAGATAATAGAACTATAATTTACCAAAACTGTACAAAGACTGTATTTTCATTTTTAAAAAGGATTGAATCAAAGATATGGTCTTACATCATGGCTATAAGTGGGGTTAACACAAAACATTTCACTTTTTAGCACTTTTATCAAGTCAGTTCAATAACGTAATGGTGCACGTTCTCAGCATGGCATCATCGTATATTGGTTCCATTGGACAGATCCATTTGTACCCAATCAAATCGATCCATCAAATGTTTAAAAAATCATCCAAATTAACTGTGCCTTAAGATCTTGTTACTCAAGTTTGTTGGCATGTTCAGTCATTTGTTTATCAAACTTCCTGGAACCAAAAGTGGCCTCAGCAAAGAGCTAAAAAAGTTGTTTTTAAACAAATCTAATGAGTAAATCCAGCCAAACCCTGTTTAAAAATGTTAAAGATATAAGTCCCTCAGTAGCTTAAAAAAAGAAAGAAGTGTAATCAAGACATTTGTTTGTTGAAAGGTAGTATAACAGCAAAAATTAATATTGATAGAGAAAGTTTGTTGGTAAATGAGTAATATTTGTATATTGTCATTATATTTGTTGATCACAGTTTTTTTATGATTTTAAGTGCTAAAAAATGTCAAAGCTACATTTAAAGATATAGCGGATATAGCTCCTCCTCAGACCAGAGTTTTTCCTGGGATCATGTTTGATTCGCAGATTTACAGACAATGCCAGTTACAATTGGACCAGGCAATAAATTGGGCAAGAAAATGATGGAGTGATTTACCGAAGAGTTTAACAGCAATCATTTCCCGCTGATCGTCACTGAGACCCCGTTTAGTGGCAGAGAGAAACTGCCAGCTCAGCATGTCTCCAAACTGGGGCCAAGGGGCGGCAGGAGTGTTGGCGAAGAACATGACATCCTGGGAAAAAGACACATATAGGTTGATCAAATAAATATCTCCATCTGATGGCATGTTCCTGTGTCCCACTACTAATCAGCATTAAGATGTTGGACAGGGGGTGAACTCTCACCTTTGGATCCTGGCTGAGCATGTTGAACCAGAGGATGGATGCCCAGGCACTCTGCTGCTGGCTGGAGTTAGAGATGATGACCACAGGAAGGGAGGAGGCCTGCAGCACGTTGTTATTTGTACAATATTAAGTCTGACTCACATCTCACAATAAAAACAGTAAACACAACCCTCTCATGAAGTTCATATCGAATTAATCATGAATAATCTACAATGTGAACAAAGAAAGAATTTTTCAAGTTAGTGAAAGGAAAAGACAGAAGCACAGTAAACTTTACCTGCAACTGGGCTGAAAAACCTTTCATATCAAACAGAGTGCTGAAACAGACAATGTGCAGCTCCTCTGTTACACTCAAAGAAATCTGTTAACACCAAACACAAACATGTGTAACACTAAGTATTTTGGGTAAAAGATTACAGGGTTAAATCATGAGCAAGGATGGTACACGTTCAACTCACATCGCTGGATCCTTTTCCACCACTTCCAGATTTCTGCTCCTTCAGAGTCTACAAAGAAAAGTGCACAGAATTACTTCCACGGCACCATATTAGGTCTATTCCAAACATTTAACTATGTTTGGTCTATTTCATCTAATCCGAACATTTAACAATGTTTGGAATAGATCAATTTAGTGAAGCATCTAAAGCTTGAGGGACAGTGGCCTTTGAGGACTTGAGTGGGGCAGCCCTGCTTTAGAGGGACGTTTGTCTTTTTTTCTTTTAATGAACACTCACCAGATGTCTGAAGTCTGCCACCATGCCGCCACTCTGACTCTCAGCCATGTTCAAAGTTTTGGTTTTGCTTCCAAGGACATTGAAACGTCGGTATCTATGAATAAGTCAGGTTTGGGTAAAATTATTCCACATCATATGTATATTCAGCTCTTTTGATAGGTCATATTATAAGGAAAAAGAAACTCACCCTTTTATCTGAGGAGCCCCCCTAATTTCAAGGATGAAAAAAGATTATAAAGACCACAGGGAGGAAATTAAATTTAATTCACTACTGTTTGAAGTGAATAACTCAAGGCCGTTGGAAGTTAAAATTAAATCTTACCTGTCCATGGAAACGTCCACTTTCATGGATTGGTTCAGCCCAGGGAACTTAACGAGAAGCCTGAATTACAGAGTCAAGAGTGAGATATTACCAAAATATGAAAACGTACACTTAAGATCACAACACAGATGAAAAAGGATCATGAGGCAAATGCTGCAAACAACTCTGACCTGGTCTTAACAGAAAACTGGACATTTGTGCGCAGAACCAGAGGTCCTTTCCCCTGTGGCATGGACGGCTGAGTCTCCACTACAAAGGAACTTCATTCACAAATACACAATAATGTTTAGAATTTCCACCAAAAAAATCCTCTTTTTAAAAAAAAATTTAAACACGAGAACATGAAAAACTGTGGATTAAAAGAGAGACCTCTGGAGTAAGTCTTTCAATACTTCATCAGCTCTCCTCTGCAGCATGGGTTTCAGGGCCTTTATGGGGTCATTGTCATAGGACAGTTTCCCTACCAGCTCATCCAGCTTATTCAGAAACTCCCGCACCTGGAACAGACACTCTGCTACACAGGTGAACCTACAAAACAAGAAGAACAAGGATGTTTACCGTAGGTCACAAAAAGTGAACAAATATTTCAAATGAAAACATGAAATTGAGCGGAGAGAATGTGAAAGTCTTAAATTCCTGTGTCCGGACATCATGGCAGTTACTGCCCCTAAATTTATCAGAGAATAAAACCTACGTGGAGCAGGTGGTCATGTGCATACCAATTTTCCAGCTGGTCCAAGCACACATTGTCTGGAGCACCAATGCATGCTTTTTGCTGCCTCCTCTGCCACTCTACCACCTCCTTCTTCACCAACTGGTTGACCAGATCCTCAGCTCGGTCCAGAAGCTTGGTCATGTCTGACAGTGTGCTCTGAAAACAATTTCATAGGGGGGAAAAAAATCATTAATTACACAAATTAAATGTACAGAATAGAAAGACTGTTAACTGATGGTACATACCTTTCTACACTCATCGAGTCTGTTGACAAGCATCTGAAGAACTCTAACCTGCTCCCTCTTTAAGGCCTCGTTGACTGAAGCTGTGTAATAATTTCCATAGTGGGATGACATTTTCCAGGCAAAGAAATATCAACACAAAAAAATGAGTCTGATTCATACTAATGTATTAGTCAGCATCACAAAATGCAAACTTAAACAGAACTCTATCATGTGCAAACCTTCCATCTTGTGGGTTTGATACTTGAAATCAAACTCGTCTTGTTGCTCTTCCAGACACATCATTGCATGTTCGAGACACTAGATTCCAAAAAGTTCAGAACACAGAAATAAAGTAAATATGTGAGATGCTCTATTTTTATTCACATAACATCACAATAAAAATATTGTACCAGCACCTGCACATCGTTTCTTAGACCAGCCAATTTACGTTCGAGGTCCTGTTGACAGCTGGTCTCCATAGCTTCCGGCTCAACGTGCAAAAACTGGACCTATGAGCAAAAAACTGTAGGGTGAGACGATCCACAAACTTCTTATGTGTGACACAGAGTGGCAGTTATAACCGTATCATTACATGTTATTGTCATATGAACATATGATCATTCATGACCAGTTCTGTATTATGAAGTGTCACTGTTTTTATGTTGTGCAGGAGAGCAGGTCTAATCTATTTCATAGATAAATTCCTATTAGTTAGCGAGGAGTTGTACTAACCTGTTCAGCCAGATCGGCACTGGCCAAGATTTCCTTCTCCTTATCTAAAAACCACAGGATTATGCTTGCCAAAACACAGGGATCATCCTGATACCTCTGCAGTTCGGGTAGACAATTGACATCAGGTAGTAGAGATAATAACCACACAGGTAAAATTATTAGTGACAACAGTAGTAATGCAATGTGATCTATCTATCTATCTGTCTGTCTGTCTCTGTACATACATAAATACAAATACATTTTTCACATATTACAGCTGGATAAGCTGTTAGAAAGATAAACACATAAGAAAGAAAAGGAAACTTTAAATAATGTCTATGTTTTCCAACATTCAAAATGAATTTGAAAAAAACATGGAAATACATCTAAACTGAGTCTGTTATAAATGAGTCTTGAAATTACTATTTGAATATAAATTGTCACTCAGTTGTGTTATTGTGGCACAAACCTGGAAATTCTGTTTGTATCTTCTGATGTTGTGCTGCTCTAAAAATAACTCCTCTTGAACAAAGCGGCTGTGTTGAATATCTAAATTTTCCAAGAGGACTTGGAACAGCACCATAGCCCGGTCATTGTCCCTTGCTGCCAGTTGCCTGAAATAAAATACACAGATAAGGTATTTAATGCGCAGGCACACTAGCGGTGATCTTTAAATTATGTTGGCTTAGTGTAATCAGGGGCAGTACCACTCCTGCTTCTCTATCCAGGCTGACAGGTAGTGCCGAACATCCATGGGCAGGCCATCTCTGTCGTAAAGCTCGTGTAACTGCTGGGTGTAACTCGCCGGCAGCTTCCTTAATCTTTCCCACTGCGCCATACCGGTCTTGGTCTGGGAAATACCAACAAGCACACAACCACATTTAAAACACTGTCTTGTGTCTGGGATATTTTTCTTTTTTATGGAGTTACAACCAACAGGTACAATTTATACATCTGTAGGACAAAACAGGTACAAGTCACAGTGAAAGGAACTATGTGAAAAGTATTGAGCAATTACTGCTTCCTAATTGACAGCCTATACATTTTAAATCACGTGATGACCGTTTTATAACAAAGTATGGTGAAGAGTGCGTACGAGTACACGCCTGCACAAAAAACAGGAAAAAAACAAAGTCTTTCACACGCTACCATGTTAGCAAGCTCTTAGAAAAACACCACGGACGTGGTTTCAACCAGCAGTTACTTACCCTCGCAAGGCGCAGAAATTGTGTTGCCAACAGGTAAATTAAAATAGTTGCATCCCTCGCTCGTTTCCGACTTTACTGAAGGAGTTTCGGCTTCTAGCAATTATTCGTAAAACATAACAACTGTCCACAGTGTGCAGGCGTGTTGGTGTTATTTCCTCCGTATTTTCACCTCCCCCTTTCGTTTATTGGCCGTTTCCTTACCCATCCCTACAAGCGACGAAGGGCGCCATTTTGGCTCTGATATCAGCGCTTTTATTGACGGCGCAAGAACCGGAATGTCATACCGGGTCCCACAGTTTCCTCATGAGCTTAGTTCTATTATCTGATTGGTTAAAACTCCCTGACGCTTTCAAATTACATTGGTGCTTTTCTCTGTCAGTCTGTTGTGAGGGAGGGTATTTAGCAAAATAGAAACTTACAGCCTCGTTACCACGAAAGTTTCCGATAAATGACGTTGGGACATTGGAGCACGTGACCCACCCACATATAAAAAAACATATATAAACTGGGATGGCATAGTTTTGTTGTGTTTGTATTTTGATTGTGTCCCCCCTTTGGCTACTTTAGAACTTTAGCCCATTACCGTGGTAACAGAGCAATTCTACACAGCTAAATTGCTACTGTTTTTAAACGTAAGAGTCCCCTTTTTTGCAGTTAACCAACAAAGAGTACAGAGGAAACAATGTTTTATGCAGATTTTATATTGTTATAAAAATAATTGTGAATATCATAAGAATTTGGCTTTTTAACAGTGAGACAAAAATACAAAGTTTTACATTGTAGAGTGATATGACACTACGTTTTATTTGAATATTTAATATAACACAGTACTGTAATGAAAAGAAAAGAAAAGGAGGAGTTCAGAATCTGACTGATTAATCTAAAATAATAAAGGAATTATGTCTGTGCAGACTTTTTACAAAAAGTGTCAATGTAATTGTAGATTTTCATTGAGATTTACCCCGTTTTCAGTTGGCTGAAAATGTAAGGAGCTAAATTCATTTGTTTCTCTTAAATTTGCTATCATGGTGATCATTGTGGCTTTTGGTGACGTTGCATCAGTAACAAATAAATATTGGCTTCAGAATGATGTCGGATGATTTTGTTCAGGCTATAGAAGTTAACATTGTGCCGGATCTGTCATGTAATGCATGGATGTCATTAATTTGCATGTCTGGGCTTTTTTGCATTAGACTGAGCCATTGATGTATAGGAAAGACAACAGCCACTTCGGTTTAGTTCGGGTTAAAACTGACACATAGATCTGTGATTTGAGTGGTTAATTCTTCATCAATATCTTCTGTTATAATTGATTTTTCATGCATTACATACATTTCCTTTCTCCTCCAAAGCTCAATAGGCATTTCTTTATTTTATTTTTGCTTCTCAGTTTCTATCAACTCACATTTGTTATTGTGACAATAAGTAAGTTTACTTATATAAAGCATGACTTTACCCCAACCATTATCTATTTAGCTTCATATAAAAGTGAGTTAAGGCAGTTAATTCCTTGAAAATGAAGGTGTTTTTTTTTTAAATATGCAGATCTTGTTTTTGTTTCGAACCAAGCTTCAGGAAAAATAACACGATCATACTTTATTTGCCCACTGATCGAGAAAACTTGCATTCAAATTTCATATACAGTTTTCACAACATTTAAACAACTGTCAGATTCCTGCAAAAAAATATTTTTTCTAATCCACTCTCTGCAATTACACCAGAGCTGTTGATAAACAGAGAAAACAAAGAGATAAAATGCTAAATTATGAAGGTAGAAGATGTAGCTTCCTGAGACCAGTTCTTCAGTGATGCTGCCTAACATGATATATTGTCCACATACTGTATTCATTAAACACAAGCATATTATTTCTAAACACAGGCGTAAAGCTATTTTTCTATTTTTCTGAGGTTATACTTATGAGGATCATTTACAATTTAGCACTGATTATATGTGTCTAAGTATAGTATAGAAGGTATTTGGATGAATATACTTTTTTTTTTAAACAACACTTCAGGTAAATACAATGTAGCTTTCCCTTTGTAAAAAGTTGCATTTTACCCCAAATAAAATGTTACAAATGAGAGAGAAATTTATCATGAGGGTGGAAAATCTTGAATGGCCTATTTGTGCTATTCTTGCGCTGTGTGTATATTAAATAAGCGTGCACAGCCGTTTGAACAAAAGCAATCTAAAATGAACCTAAAATGTAAGTTTCACAGTCAGCTTATTACAATATTGCAACTAATCAACTTCAATGATATTTTGTTGCTTTGCAAATTTTTCAGAGAACAAATTCAGATCTTCTCTCTTTAAAATGTATGGCAATATTCATTTAAAAGATTCAAAGGCTGATATATGAATTCTTCAGCCCTATTGGATGGTGATTACACCCTCCTCCCAGCTGATCTGGTTCACTAGCACATCATCCTCTTGCTTCATAGAGTTAAGCAGATACCTGACTCCAGCTTTCACGCCCGTCTTCATCCCTGCACCCAGAGCATAGCCCGCCACCCCAGCTGTCCCACCTGTGGCTACCATCAGGGCATCAGTTCCGAGGTCCACAGCACTGAGGATGGCTCTCTCCTTGGCAGTCGCTGAGCAGTTAACTGAGGCGTAGTATACAGCAGTGCCAAGGTTGTAGAGGGTGCTGACGCCTGGGATCCACTCCACGACGTTGTACACACGCTCCTCATTTTTGTTGATGCAGCTCCTCTGGGGGCTGCGCTTCATCCGTTGACCAGGAGCTGTCGGGGACAGGACTTGATCCTGGGAGCCGCACTGGCGAATCCAACACTCAGACTCAGGGGATGCGGATGGGAAAATGCGGCTCCCTTTCTTCAAAACCGCTTGGTACATCCCAGGTGCGAGAGCCCCACTACTGGTCACTCCAGCACACAGGAGCCCCAGGCTCTCACAGCTGCTCACCGCTTCCCCCAGGTGTCCCATGGTTCCTTCCACAGCTCTTCCCACTAACATGGTTCCATTCACCCTGGTCCAACCCTCACAGTGACCCTCCTGTACGGAAGAGCCTTCTCCCAGTAATGTCAGTTGCTCAATATTAAACATCACAGCATCCATATGGTGACTCAATTCTTCTTTCTCTGAGGGTGATGCTAGTGATGGGGATGCTGTTGTTGATGCGGACTGTCTTATTCTCCGCGCAATAAGAGCTTCCACCTCTGTCAGCAACTCCTCAGTATCAGTTTCCCCCAGAAGATCGAACAGCTTCAGCACCAGGGTCTGAGCCTCCTTTGGACAGCCTGCCAGAACCAAGACAGGAACTAAAGTGAGACCCAGCAGCTCCTGAGGAAGTTCTGAGGACAGTGGATCATCCACAGTGCTTGCGGACAGCAGTTCCTCACAGCTGACATTTCCCTGAATTTGGGGATGATCTTTAATCTTCCCCTGAAGCTTTGTCCCAAGCATGGATGTTACACGTACAGCGGATCGGACCCTCTCCTCTCTTTGGGAATCTGGTGAACCGGGTTCTGTGGGTGTGAGGGCGGGCAGGGCATCAGGTCCCAGGAGAGAGTGAGTTTCCTTTTTGGCTCCCTCTGCCTTCTCGTGACTGTGGATCCTTGGAAGCAGAGTTTTCCTTTGCACCAAAGGAAGAGGAACTCTGCATAGGGCCAATTCATTCAGCAGAAGCTGCATCACAATCAGCCACTTCAGTTTGGAGGACATCATCCCACTCTTTTCCAAAGCTGCCACATCAAAGGAAAAACATTAAAAACTCAATCAGATAGCCTTCAAAACTAGTTTTTGTATTGAAGTATTTGAAGTTTATTGCTAATCTTGCAGAAGTCTGTTAATTTGTTAATATAAACCTGTTGGGTTTTTTTGGCATCACTCCTGAGCACAGCTTTCTGAAAAATGTTATGCAAAGCTGGTTTTCGAAGCAGCCCTAACATGATCAAATGTTTGTTGATATCATATCACAATATTGGATCATAAAGCTTGAGCAAGAACTATGTATATAGAAAGGTTTTCTGCCCGTGACCATGACCATTCTAAAAATATTTTTAAAAATGTTTTTAGCAGTACAAAAAAAAGGATCACACTGTGACGCCACAACACCAAGTTAACCTATATATCTGTGCCTTGTTTTTCATGACATTTACAGCTACATTTAGAAATACTATTTTTCCTCTTTACTTTATAGGTGAAGCATTTTTTAAATCTGGTTTGTCCCACACATACCTTCTATAATATTCAAAGCTGCCGTCTCAAAGTCCAAGCCGCATCAGACCAAGATGGCTTCAAACTGAAGGATGTCTGTTCCTTCCTCTTCTTTTCACAAAACATGCATGGGAATCTTCTCTCTTTTTGCTTCCAGTGAGAATCTCCTTCTTTACACATGACATCACTCAGCCCTCCCTTTGTATCTCCTGTCTTTCAGCTCCCTCTCCTCTTTAGCCCCATTGCTCAACAGGGAGACGAGGGCTTGAATATTGATTCACATGGGTAAAGTTCATGTGTTCCGAAGCTGTTTTGTTTGTCTCTCCTGCTATCCCCTCTCTCGGAGTCGGTAGGGGTTTTGTTTTTGACCCACATACTAGAAAGGACTTTCTTTTCATGCCCAGAGCAAATATATCTCTTTTACAGAAGAAAAACTGGGCTAATTCAAGATGGGATTTCTTCACAAAAGAGAATGCCCCATGCACACACTCAAATGATGGGAAGTGCCCTTCCTCTTGTGAATACATTTCTGACTCTAACTTGTCATGATGTGCTCCCATTAAGAAAAGACTTCTTTAAACCTCTGAGGCCTTTTTTAATGTACAATAAATATTATGCCTGTAAACACCCCTCTGTCCTTAACAGAAATTCTGACTGCAATTGGGGCAGTGACAGTTATGAGTTACAAATATAACTTAACACACTCTTTGCAATGATGAATTAGGGTATTTGTTTTTTTGAAGTTTTTGAAGTTTTATTGTTGAAACGGGTGATCAAAATTCATAGTTGTGTTATTTGATGAAAGTACATCTCTCTTCCCTGCTGTTATTCTCCAGCTGTTTATTTTGAGTCATTTGCTCTAAGACCAGTATTACATAGACCCAAATGATTTAGCCTTGTTTCAGTCATTTTGGAATTTGTTGGGGCAGAATAAAATTTACCTTTATTTTTTGTTGTTGTAGTTGGAGGATACAAGCATTTCCAGTATGCTTGTTTGGGAGAACAACCAAGAAAACTAACCAACTTACCTTCTTTGATTGGATTTGATTGAAAATTAAATTCTAGCCTCCTACGTGATACATCTGCATGACGGAGAATAATTCCTTGTTTCAATAGTTTCTTTTCCTGCATCCCAGTTGGTTGAATTGCTGTGTTTGCAGATAGGCCTGACTGTCCTGTGTATGAGTTGATGACAACGTTACCAACTCATTTTGTATGCCATAAAATGGGAAAACATAAAAGAATATATTTACAGGTTTAAAAATCCATTTGGATTTGGTCGACATTTCCTTATTTAATATGCATACCATCACAATGAGTCATGGTTTGCAAAACATGCAATCACAGAACTTGTAAAAAATTCAAAATATTCACTGCATTCTCACCACTGGATTCAAATGTAACTTTTACCCAAAAAAAGAAAAAGAAACGTTCCAAATATTAAAAATGGTTGCGGCTGGTATGATTCACCAGCAGATGCCGCCCTTGGCTCGGGAAGCACCACATCTGTCATATTCAGATATTTCAGGGTTCACTTATACTAGGAGATATTTTCAACTCAATTGTCTCTTATCATCAATGCATTCTTTTGTGAGAGTGTCACTTCTTGACACTCTCACATTATTGCTGTCAATAAAAATGAACAATTACATTTCAATTTCAATTAAACATCTACATTACTATCCCATATCAACACTCTTACCAAGGAGGCACTAAAACGGTAACCTTTGTGTCAGTCTTGTTGCATATGTCTCTATAGGAGTTTTGAGCATTGTACACAGCTGTATGATGGCATGCCCTAGATAATCCGTGTAAAAGGCCTGTAAAAGCTGCTGCATGTGTAATGCACAGGTTATGAGAAGGGAGAAAGTATAAAAGATAAGACTGATTTGGTTGTTTGTTTATTGTTTTGAGAGAAGACATATTTTAGATGTGTACGAAGACAAATTATTCTCTGTTTGAAAGTAAGATGTCAGTTATATTGCCCCAAAAAGCATATCAGCCTATTGATCTCTCACTGTGACACACATCTTATCTATATAACCTTTGTTACCCATGGCAACAGCCATAGAAACAGAGTCAACTTCGCTGTAAACTGACAATTAACTATTACCTACTTGAGGTCAACATCCCTTCAAAAAACAAAGGTTATAGATCAGCTGAGACAGCTAAGGCCTGTATGGTGAGAGGGAAGTTGAAAAAATAGACAGTTATTTATTAACTCTGAAAGACATATTCAACATAAATGGACTTTAGGTCTTTGTGTATCTAGCAGGAACTTTTATACAAAGCAACTTACAAAGTAGATTATGCACATTTGTATCTCCGCGTTGGGGAATTGACCCCCGGTCTCCCGTGTGAGAGGCGGGGACACGCACCACCACACAAACGAGGTAGCAAAAATCAATGAATGTGACAATGAGGTCACATTTTTTGGTAAGTGATGTAATAGATTGAGAAATGTTTAAAGACATAACTTTACATTCATAATAAATTACTTTAATATCTAACTTTGCAGTTGAGCGGCCTGATCCAAAAATGTAGATGTAAAGCTTAGATCAGCTCCTGTAACCAAGGAAAAGTTTTACCTACCCTTTATGAGCTTTATAGGATTTACAAAAAATATATAATATTGAGCTTATGTGGACACATTGTTTAATTGTTTTGATTTACCAAATGAGCCATGACAAAATGAGCATGACCAAAAAGCCCATGCCAGTTGCTGACATGAAAACAATACACAGTTTGTGTTTCTCATCGTATTCATGTTTACTGCTCAAGAAACAAGAATGTCTTCAGAAGGCACAATCATGCTTACGGATTATATGAATTCAGCTAATGGGCATCATTAAACTTACCGGTTTTCATGTATGAAAAAGGACAGGGTCATTTGGAGGGTTTTCCACTTCTCATTTCTATGTTTATTAAGTTGGAAAGTAGGAGTTGTTGCTTCATGCTGTTACACATCAGCCAATGACAGTGTGGACAGAGCAATAATGTCCACTTGGAGGGCGTATTGGTCACTGCTTTTCCAGTCCATTCAACCACGGTCAATTTCCTGGGATACACACCCAATGTGTGCTTTTTTCTTTTATATAACTGCCTGAAATTATGAGGGAACAGTAATAAGTACATGCCATAATTGCCCTCAGCTTTTCCAGGGGTTTCACATATTCTTATTTCAGATGTCTTGAAAACATTGAAAACATGGTCAATCACAGAAAGCTCCATTGGCAAATAGTAATGTCGTGTTTTGATTGACACAAACACTGAACTAAACAGTTGTCATGTTTTTTTTTCGAAGCGCCTTTACAAAAAGCATATCTGCTTTTGTGTAAGTGATCAGTACGTTGCCCTGTTTACAACCCTTGTCAGCAGCCTTCAGCATAGCTGAAAAACAGTCCCAGTCAATTAAATCAGGTGTGGTGGAGGAGAGGAATTTGTCAAAGTTGCAGGGCTGTATGCCTTGAGGTCCAAGGCTGTAAACACAAGCCCAGTAGTTTCGATTGGGCCCTCACTAAACAATAAGAGGAATCAGGGGCCGTGAATATGGTGATAACTCCACTCTCTAAAAAACCTGTCAGTTAACTCTTGGTGGTTGGTTCTTTCTCTATTTCAGCAAAGTGCAATTAGCCTCACCTCTCGTACACCTGGGTGGTGGCGGAACGGGCCTGCTAATTTCAAACAAATGGTAACGCAATCAATTGATGACAAATACAACACTTCTGAAGTCCTTGCCATCTCGGAACCTGCACCAGTCAAAATCTCTGTGATTGTCATATTTCGCCAAGCAGGACAACTTGTTGACTTTCTAGATGAATCTTGCTCTCCATTGACACAAGTGTCCTGTGATGGTCCTTACTGATATAAATATCCACCTTGACAGTCCTAAATTTTCCAATTTTTTTAGCATTTAGTCTGCAGTCCTCAAATTCACAAAGCAGTCAAAGCACTTAGATCTAATTTGCACAGGAAATGTGCACCTCTCTATCAAACCTCTGCACTTTTCTGACCAGTATTTCATTCAATTCAGAGGGATACTCCCAAGAATAGCCCCTGCTTCCATCTCCATGGTTTCCTTCCACTGTAAGCTCTGCATCATTCAGCCACCTCTTTCTCCTCCCTTGCTGCACGCCCTCTTCCAAACTCCAACAAACCTTTCTCCTTTGAGGTTAATATAGATGACCGTTAGGCTTCCAGGAACTCTTGAAGACCCAGCTCTTCAGAGAGAATCTCCTACCTTATCTCTTACCCTGTACTTCCCTACATGCTTACCTCTCTTTCTGTACTTCCCTCTGTGCCTACACTGTTACCACTGTTCTAATGAGGAAAATGTAGATTGAGAATCGTATCAGTGGAAGTACTTGAGCTTCGGAAATTTAAGTGAGCAGCTCACTTATAAGCAGTCTTCCTGTTGGCATTGTTATACAGCATGATGAAAATGAGCAGAATACATATCTAAACAGTTAAATATTAAATCATCAATCAGTGAGTATGCTACAGAAGACTTTCATTTTATTTAATTTCACTAAATAGGTAGTAAATGTCCCAGTGAATTAAAAAAAATTCAATTAACTCAATCAAACATTCCTCATTGAGCTAGTTATTTAATTCAACTTGTCTGAGGGGAGAGATTCTCCAGAACTGCGTCTGTGTGTGCCTATTGGGGATGACGGCATGGGTGGTGGGTGGAGCACTAATTGGAGGAGTAGATGGCTATAATAACTGAGATAGAGATGTTTCAGAGCAGATAGACTTGGTTTAATTCCTTTAAAACGAAGAACAATACTGAACAAAACAGCGGTTTATACTGAACAAATCCAGTCAAGGTAAGACTCATTTTCATCTATTTGCAGCGTGTAACTGTGGCAGATACATCAAATATCAAACATTTGTTTGCGGAGAAGAAGTATTTTTCCACTTATTTTACCATTAGTTATACGATTATTACCTGAGTAGATTAAACGATTAGAAAACATCCCTCTCGAGTTTTATGTTCAGAAACTTAAATATTCATAATGCACATGAATTCTTTATGGTGTTCATGTTACCTGACGCCATTCTAACAACAAACAAAGGACCTTTTACATTAGGAGGTCTGTGGCTACTAATTACTCAAATTTAGCCACAGAAATGACACAGGGGAAAGCTACATAACAAAAAACTGTATTTTTACTTGAAACTTTTTTAACACTGGTGGGATTTCCTCAACAGCTCACAAATGCAATAAATACAGTGAGTGTGTTATACTTGAACTCGCATGTACCGATTTTCATTCCAGAGTGATGAAGGGAAGTCCACTTTGTTCCCTTATGTTGCTCCTCCTCATATTATGTCCTGTTAAGATTTGGAGTAAAGACAAGATCTACAAATCACAGAGAGAGGTATGTTTCATCCACATTTCCTATACCTCATTCTCAGCATCACTGAGACTGACAGGCTTAAAATGGAGTAACAGTTATTATTCTGGGTCTGTTTTCAGGCAAGCGAAAGTGCAATATGGAAGAGATCTCACGGCATCGACTATGACAGCTTTGTGGGGCTTATGGGACGGAGAAGCACTGCTCCATCAAAAGGTGAGTTAGAAAGTATTGTTTACCGAGAGTAAAATTTGCTAATTGAGCCTTTTTTCCCCTGAAGAAATGTTGGAGTATAACTTGGTAACCAACCACAGTTCAGTATTTTATCCTAATAACAAATTCCTCTGTTGCAGGTAGTACTGACCACATGTATCGAGATCTGCTGAGCCGAAGAACAAGCGAGTCAGACATCGCTGAAGGAAATGCACGTAAGCATTCAACACTTTCTAAGAGAGGAAAAACACAGGATAAGGAGTTTGTAGTTTATTTTAGGCTGAACTTTCATGTCAACATTTATATCAAGAACACAATCATAGGGAAGAATACTGTGTTGCAATTGAAATGTCACCCTTTAAAACAAGTTTAACAGTTTCAAAGGGAGTGCCTTAACTAAATAGTGTTTAATTCAATTTCATATTTCATGTTCATGTTTCATTTTATCACATTTACAACTTATGGGAAAACTCACCCAGCCACGTTTCTATTTGCTTTACATAACTCAAAAGAAAGCTTTCTGGATGCGTGTGGTTCTAACTTCTTCCTCCTTGCGGAGGTTTACACTAGAAGTTGAACAATGAGGGACTGTCTCTTGTGCCATGACATCAGTAAGTGTATTTGACTTTCAGGAGGGTAAAGTGACACCTTCAAATATTTGAAAGAATATCCATGTTTGTGTGCCTTTTTTTCATGCCATTTCCAGTGTGTTTGTATAGTATTCTTATGGGAAGCATTACACCACACCACCAACAATTCAAGCCAAGTTGGTACTCATCTCATCTAGTCCAGGCACCCATTTCTGACCTCACTCAAATATCTTGGATTGCTGTTAAGCTTGAACACCATGCCAAGATGTTTGTCATTTGTCAACTGTAAAGTCCTAATGGAAGATCTGCAAGTTGATGGTTCAGCACAATGAAAGCTCCGAGTACATTTCTCAAGTTTTAGTTAAGTTACATACTGCAGGTTCATGACAGGCAGGCATTTTTGTGCACTGCAGGTGGAGCTTCACCATTGTCACAGAGGTATCTGCAAAAGAAGAACGGCCGACACATCAACCATGAAAGGCAGAGGTAAGAAACTTTGACTTATATTCATTCTAAAATAGACATCTTTTGTTATCTGCTGAACTTTAAACCTTATTCGTCTTTTCTTAGGATCCAAGAATCTCTGAAGTGGCTCTGACGTATATCCGGACAAAGGAACAATGCTCTGTAACCGCAGACACATACCCCTGTTAACCATGCATGAGCGCTTGCACAGTCCACTAGAAATACTGAAATAACTGTGTAATTTGATGTAAACAGATGTCAAACACAAGGTGTAAAATAAAATATGCATTTATTTATATAGTGATTAAAGAACCATCCTGTAAAAAGGATCCAGCCCGCCCCTTGTCAGCTCACGCACTGTCAAATTAATTTACACACTTAAGGTACTGATGCAGTTAAAATGTTCATTCCAACATAAACACATTTCCAACATAAATACACTACTGTACATGTTTCTATTTAATAAACGTTTTACGGTAGATTGTCGAGGGCTGGAAGTGTGGCATCTCTCCCACTGGAAAGTTGATTCAGCCTTTTAATTATTAATCCAGTTAAACGGGACAAAGGGTCTGTCAATTCAAAAGGAAGCTTTACTTAAAACATACCGAATTGGTTAAGAGTGACTTGACATTGAAAAGACTTGTTGTTTCATTTTTTTAAAGGAACATACTAACACTCTGTTCACACAGAAAAAACAACTGTACACCCAAAATGCACTCTGAAAGGCCATTATTACATAATCAGTTTTGGAAATTTCAGAAAATAAAGGCTTTTAGTGGTTAAAAGTCAAAACAGCAACAGTTTAAAAGTGCATTGAATCCCAAATTAATTGTGTTTCAGACAGCTCTTGGTCATTAATGTGTCACTAATATATCCAAGTCTGTGTTTGGTTATCAACTTGTAAACATGCAAAGCAACTGTTGTTAACACTTACGAATCATGTGACCCCGCCAGTATCAGTGTGTTGACAGAAAACAAAAAACTAAATAAAAAACAAGGAAATGAAATCCCTTTCATGGGCAAGTCACACTCTCTAAAAGGCCACACACAGTACAATTGTAGGATGTGACTAAATTAAAATTCAACTTCCTCTTGTTGTGGTAATGTCACAGTGCAAAGTCAAATGTGCAGCTTATGGCTCATACAATCTCATTTTACAAGGCACAAGCTTATGGGTCCATGTGGGGCAGGGAACTAGTTAAACATGTTTAGCCAATGTTATCTTAAGAAAACTCACAAATGCGGTTTGGAGAAGATCATATCTTTCTAGAGAAAAAAAAAAACCTGTTTGACAGCTTGTACCTGTTCATTGTGCGTCTAGCAAGAGAAAAAGAAAAAGATGATGGCAACCTCATGTTTTCATATTAAGTAGTACGATTACCCCCAATAAGAAATTTGGATACATCCAAATAGTGCTCTTCTCTAAAAATTTTCATTCTGGAAATGTTGCACTTGGTAAGACTATCTATGTAATATACAGTGTGAGCACACACAGCTGCATGTGTTGATCAAAGATGAATGCTTCCAAGTGGATTTTTTTAAATGATGACAGTATTTGTTTTAACTGAACATAACTCATAAAGAGGCCCTTTCCTGGATGTTATAATGCTTTAACTAACCCTGACTCTGACTCAAAATTTGTGTTCAGCAATTGAAAGTTTGATAAGAAATTTTTGTTTGATACAGGTTCCTTAGTCCTGTCTCATACTGCTGAAAAATGTGTTGTTTTTCTTTGTCATATCGGAAGCTAAACTGATGATTTTAAACTTTTTTGTTGTTTTTTAACTTTTCTAAAAATAAAAAAACAACTCAGAAATGAAACATAATCAGAATACAAAAAAAAACAGCTGCAGCCCAACAGAGCTCCAGAATTATTAAGAAATACTCGTTAAAAACAATTCCTTCATGTTTAACTAAATCTTCATTTAGATTAATGTAAATACAATAACATAGATCATGTGCGCTCCTACCTCTGTGTAGAAAACCGACAGAATGTAACCAATGCCTGAAGTGAAAAGACTTTTGAAGACAATAAAAATCAAGTTTGGGAGGTAGCTCATGCTAAAACTGACTGACACTACATTTGCACTTTTTTAAAAATTATTCTTAGTTTACAGGATTCACTGAGACTGATACCTCAAAACACTTTGAACAATAGAACCAGGTTCTTCCTTCCTGTTTGAAATAAAGTCAAACTATTCCCATCAGTCAGGATAAACAGCACGTTCGGGTCTGGTACATCTGGTGTGGACAAGACTGAGCATGACAAAATACTTTCTGTTTTTCAAATGTGGAAAACACTTCACTAAGTTCAAAATGAATAAAGCCTAAGGAAATGTCTCCTCAGCTCTTAAAGGAGAAACCTGTTAAAACCACAAAAAGTAAGAGTCATAAAACAATGCGAGAGTCTGAGGACCAATCTCTCCCTCCCAGTTCACAATAACGCTGCACCTGCATGTGATGAAATTCAAGCAGACAAATCTTTAAAAAAAACTAAACAAAACATGAAACATAATCATCAGGACGAAAAGGGCAAGCACTCAGAAACACCCACTCCCTCAGTCCCACCCCACACCCACTGCTGGTGTCAGTTCTCTACTGGATCTGCAGGGTGGTCTTTACCATCTGCAGGAGGAGGGTTCGCCTCCTCTTTCTGGTCATCCCCGGACAGTTTATCCCCCTTTCCCTGCTGCACCTCCTGAGAGGCCGTGTCTTTTTTTCCTTCCACAGCTTCCAGTGAACTTGGCTTTTCAACTGTATAACCTTTTGGTGAGGGGGGCTGGTACCGATATCTGTAGCCAAAGGCACGCAGGTGATAGGCGTAGTACTCCAACCGATACATCCCCGCAGCATCTACATAATGGAAAGACACCGACAGATCCGAGCAGCAGTTTGGACCCTGCAACATCAGAGGACATTACAGCATCATATCTTCTGTGTGAATTAGGCAGATTTCAGCATAAATGAGCTCTGTAAGTGTTATCCCAGTGAGGAAGGTCATCGTCACAACAGGTAGATAAGTTGAAGGAAACAGGCAAAAATCTGTCTGTTTGCAGTCATTTCATTCAGGTTTAACCAACACTGAAAAAAGGAGCTATTCAAACATTAAAAACAATGTTCAGAATTTTCCAAGTGGGGCAGGTTGAGGGTGCTGTCACTTATACACTGTCTGCACATTTACCAGGCAAGTGAGTATTTTTACCATATTAACATTTGTATACTTCTTTTTCAAATCCAATCCATATAAACTTGAATGCTTATTGTATAACAAGAGAGGGTTTAGCCTATGGAGATCAACACCCTATATGCACATGTGCATAAATCATGGCAGCTTCTTGAAACAGAAATTAACTGTCATAGATTTGAGAAGAACCAAACGTGAAGCCGCAAGGTCCCGTTATCCACCAGCGCCGCCATATTCCAGAACTGCAACCCAACTGGAGTGTGTAAAAGTATAAGGTGCTCAGAGACCTAGCCATGGTAAGGAAGGCTGAAACCTCACCACCTCATAATTTTGCACACAGATATTTACCCAAGAAAGCCAAAACCTAAAGTTTTCTTTCTTGTATATTAGGATTTGAGGGTTTACTAACATTTTGGAAGGACCGAGAGCACCGTAGTTGTTCAGTGATAGAGTTAATCCTCAAAGATGCAACGTGTAAATTAACACATTTTTTTCACACACAACTGAAGTGAAAACAGATTACCATGGAAAACGTTACCCCTGAGCAGGTAGTCCAGCCTGCTTCTCCAAACAAGACATGCACAAACCACAGCTGACTTTAGGTAATACACCGAGTAAGGATAGCTACGTCATGAAACACCACCACAAAGAGGACAGCATAATTCCTGTAACAATGCTGAGATTGCGTAGTAGGATTTTCAGGATTTAAGAGATATCCCAAAGGTTTTACTGTACTTGCCTCTGAAATAGGATAGTAACAGTAGCTCCAGTACCAGAAGCTCTTTGGGAACTTGGCAGTGAGGTGTTGTTCGGGAACAAAGGGCTGAAACGTCTCCCTGTGAACAGTGTCTCGGGAGTCTCCTGCAAGTACCCCAACTTTCTCCATGCATTGCCCCATTGCCAGGTCCTCCACAGATGTAGTGTGTGTGCACACCTTGTTTTTAAAGCCTTCCACAAATCTCCGCAGTGCCTCTTTGCTCAGTATGTAGCCCGCACCACCACTCATGTATCCCTGCTTGGTGTAGGGCTTGAATCTTCGGCCAAAGTAAATCGGCTCTTCGGGCGTGTGGTTTGCAAGAATCCAGCGCAGGTTATCTACTATTACGTACGTGTCGTCATCTGCCTTGAGGAACCAGTCGGCCTCGTGCGCATGATGCTCGTAGGCATAATGGAAGGCCCGGATTGTTTTCCAGTACAGTTGGTCCCGACCTTCCTTTGTTCCTAACCCCACTGTGGGGAAGTCAGGGTCATCCACAGAGCTCATGAAAACCACTATATTGCAGTGACGGCTCCATGTGTGTTTCACGTGGCGAGCCTTCTTCTCCAGATTGTTGGGTCCAGTCATCACCCAGCAGAGAATACGGACTTTGTTGTACAACTCATCAGCCATGCGGCTGTCCTCACCTGACAAAGAAATGGACACAAACGTGATTTTACTTCCTCATCCATTGGATTTACAACCCCCATAATATATGTTCAGCAAATCTACTTTTTACTGCCATGTGCTAAATTGTACTTATTTAACCCTATGAACATTTTTAACTTGCTTTAAAATGTATAATATAATCATAATACATTGATACAGACCAAAACAGAGTCTTCCAAACATTTAAACTACAGATGCAGGTTGAAAAGCAAGAAGCATTTTCCTCAAACGTCACAACGGGAAACTGCTGACACGTAGCTTAAAGGCGATTGACATGAGTGGTCCTCTAATACTTCATTACTTATAAACCATAACAGGACACAGTACTGAAGCAGACTGGCTGTTTAAAATGGCCCAGGTGTATTTAACATTACATACCTATATGATGAGGGTGTTTCAGGTTGAAAAGAGCAGACCTTTCTTTCTTCCATATCTTCTGTTCTTCCTCAATCTCTTGCTGCTGGTCTTGAAGTTTGTTGAGGTTGTCGCCCTGCTGAGGGACCGGGCTCCGTTCAAACCGCACTTGCCGTAGAAACACGTACAGCGTGAAGGTCCCCACGACAAAACCCGCATAAAAGGAGAATCTGGATCCCAGAGCCTTCATACTTGTGTCTCATTGGCAGCTGTTCAACTTGGCAAAAGCTGAACGTGGAGGAGGGGGGGCATGGGCGTAAGTCCTTCCAGCTGTGGGGACAGTCCAGGAACTGTGATGGCGACAGCGAAGAAATGACTAGAGGGACATGTGTCGACTGTCGCTCCCCGTTCCAGGCGTTGTTTACTCACTGGTGCTAACTCGCACACCATAGCAGCTGTGTAGCGCCACAGCTACTTCATCACCGCGGACGGCACTAACTCTGGAAAGCGAAAGCTGGTGCGCAACGTTTCCACTGAACGGAAACAGCTCAGCTAGTCATATCAAAGCGACGCTAAGTTCACATCTAGCGTTTAAAAACCATAAAGGGATTAACACGAACAAACTATGCGGAACAAAAATAATAAATAGCGATGTCATGCCAAGTTAAATATTTACTCCGGTTCAGTTGGCTAGCTTGTGCAAGCTAACGGGCTTATCCGTCATTTGATCGACGTCGCTAACGCTAAGTCCGGTGTTAAGTTAGTCCTCCCTAACCAACGAAAACTGCACGGCGCTAGCTGACAGAAATGATAGCTCTGTGCTCAAATGACGCTGCACCTTAACTGAAACGGCAAAGTTTAACTGTTCAACATCACTACATGAACTACATTGAACTTGTTCTGACTGACTGCTGTTTTCCGTCCAGATAAAACGTTACTTCCGGTCAGATTCTTAAGCTTGGAAGGCTCAGTTAACCCTCTGTGGTAAGACTTATAAGACCGAGGACTGTTCCCAGTGTTTTCACTATTTCTAGGACTTAAAATGCTTCCAGTCTGAATCCCCTCCTGTTTTATATTGCATCAAGATACACAAAGTCATACAATTGGGGGCAAGACCATCTTTTATGTATTAAACATTACCTGGTGCTTTGATTCTTTTGACTCAAAAGACTCCCTATTAAACAGCCAGGTATGGTTAAGTATGTCATGCACGGCTTGTTATGATAGTAAGTTTACATTGAATGAATCAGTTACTGGATCTGACCCAGTCTTGTCGGGGAGATAAGGTGCTGAAGCAAGATCATTTCTAATGTTATTATCACACTGCAAAATAATGCAAACAGATGATAAAAAGAGAAAGTCAGGTCAGACTGACTGTAAAGACAGGCTGCTGTCAAAGGTAAGTTAGAAGTTAGTCATGCAGTTATGTGGTTTGGGAAACTATGCGATGTTTAACATAGCCTTTTTTGTAATATTATTGATGACAATTTAAACAGTTGATTACTTTTCACAAGCCAAAACAAAGTGAGCAAAGCCTAAATTAAGAATACAATTGAAGGTTTTTTATGTCAGTTTTACTAGAGGGCTGATGTTCAAGTCTTAAAAGTTGGTCACCTGAGGTTTAAACTTTACTAGCCTCACAATCCGTCAACATTTAGACAAGAAAGGTAACATGGGTGGAGGAAAATGCGATGTAAATTCAGTCGATATTGCAAATAAATATACCTGGATTATCTCACTACTTCCATTGTGTTCACACAATGCAGTTTTCTTCTTTTCTTTTTTAAACACACCAGGCAGTAAGAAATGGAAACATTTTTAATCAGGTAGCTCCGCATTTAAGCTGCACTCACATACAACAAATGAATCCAAAAGCATATTGACACAATACTTATGTGCATCTCCAGCTCCAGGTAGTCAGTTATTCACAAATTATACAATCTAAGCCTATAAGTATCTGCTGAAGTACTTTCGTATTCTGGATCTCATCCACATTGAAGTGGTCTTCTTTTAATTTGCCATATCAAAGGAAATTACCTTTTTTTGGTCAAATGTTAAACAAAAAAAAAAACAAAAAAAACAAAAAATGCATACTTGAGACACTTACTCTGCATGCCTGTGAGCATTTGGATTTCTTTTAAACAGTGTGCGACTACCTAACAAAAAAGTATTTGGAAAATTGACAGAGTTTACAAAATCTGTTTGAAAATGTAAAGTGGATCAGCATGTGTACTAACAAATATGGAATCCAAAGTCATTTTTACATGTAATTTTTCACTGAACAAAGTATGCCATGAAGAAAAAAACAAAACAAAAACTAAGAACAAAGAAAAGAACCCAGAAAGAACTAGAATACAAAATCTTGAGCATTTGTACTTTGCTTTTCATTCCCAGACATTAGGATACATTTTTGTGAATATGTGGAGCAAATTCTGCAGATGCTTGATTCAGTCTGTTGAGGTACAAAAAGAAAAAAAAAAATCTCCATCTCTGTCACTTTGAAGGTAAGGACTTTGTCAATGGCAACAATGAGAACAACTGTGCCCGAGTGAATGCTGTTGACAACTACATAACTAAATGTAATTGTCTGGTAAAAATGGGAAGTATTTCTGAAAATGCACTTGATGTTATATTCCTGTGCTATTTTGTCCATCTATCAAAACTGAATCTCATCTAAAAAGACAAAATGCATAACTTCATTCAACTGTACAGGCACAGTTGACATGTGGGTTCATTGTGCAACATATGAACAGTGCCCATCAATGACACCTACATTATTGCCTTTTCAAGACACACCAACACTGAATGTGCAAACAGCTGAGCCGATATCTGCCAGACATAACAGCAATAATTTAATCAAGTGTGTGCTCTCTCTTCTTATTTTAAAACTGGCACGCCACTTCAGAGTCCCTCTTCCAACAGGTCTCCACAGGAGTTCAACATCCCAATAGTAGCACTGAAAAGTGCTTGGTGAGATCATATGTCCACATCATCCGAGTCAGATGTGCTGGTTGACTGGGACTCCTCTTGGTTTTCTCCCCACACAAACCTGTAGTTGTTCTCCAGTTCCTGCTGCCTTTTTTGCTCTTTATAAACTTCTTCAGTTCCTCCAGTCTGTGGGGTAAAATAACAAAACAGAGAAAAAAGTGTATTTAAGGAAAAAAATTACCTTTTTTTTCTCAACTAAAGCAATGTTGACCAAGTTAGCTCATGAGTTTTTATTAAAGAACTGTATCCAACGGACAGACAAAACCCAAACATATAAAACCCAAACATATAATAAATCATAAAACTTTGAAGTGATCCAGATCCATGTTTGACTGGGCCATGCACATCCACAAAACTGGTTCCACTAAGACGATATTTGCTTTATAAGCCAGAGTTACAACAGGTTTTGTGCACAGATCATGTTTAAACTCAATCCTGTCAGACATTAAAGACATTTACTGCGAGTGGACAAAATCTGTCTTCATTTCATAGTACTAAGCACACACTGCCATCAAACATAAAGTGTCCCAGTGTTTCATTAAAATTTTTACTTATGTCTACTTAAATTACCAGGAGATTTATGAGCAGTTCCCTGAAAGACTTTGTATCCTCCTCAGTCAGCCATTGATCCCCCGCCTCTTCTGCATTCTTTCGTGTTAAGATCTTCACCTCAATTTTACCTTGAAAAAAATTAAAACCACAAACAGAGAGACAGTGTACCTGTAAGTCAGCCGCAAACAATCAAGTTACACAACAGAGAGTAAACTTACATGATATGAACTAATTAATTGACATGAATGACACACTCTTCCTTTCCACGCCATTTAAAAGCTCACATTCCAGTTTCACAAAAACTGTCTTGGTGCCTTCTTGAGGCTACATGTTTTAGAATCCCACGAGAAAAGTATAGTTTTTGAAAAGATGAGAAGACAAGAGGAAAAGCATACAGGACTGTATGCTTGATATAAGAAATGGAGAGCAGATAGGCCGTGAGTGAGGCGGGCACTCCCATTCATACCTTCGGCCTTCAGTCCTGCCTTCTCTAGCTGTTCTTTAACCACGTCCTTTATGTGCTGCCACTGGGGGTCTCCTTCGCCCATCTCCTGAATTTTGACATCCCCATCGGGGCTGCTGCCCGTCTTATATTTAGTAATTTTGATCTTAACATGGTCATCAGCTGCTTGGTCTGGGGTGACAAGACAAAAGAGGGACAAACAAGACAGTTTACCTCAAACCCATCAGCAGGGTCACAGAATGGAGGCAATAAGAGCCTTCCAAAAAACACTTTATTTATGAGCAGTTCAGCTTTAACTGAGATGGATTTGGAAATGTTCGTGTCTGATTTCTATCATTTTGGTTTGCCAATGAAGTCACCCACAATTACCTCAGTGGCAGCAGCGCAAAAGACCACTAAGTGACCAAAAGGCCTCAGTTTGAATACACAGCTCTGATTATTTGCTTTAAACTCTGTGTGTCTCTTCTGAGGTGAAAGATGTGAAGAAACATTCTCTGAACACATAAATGAAACGAGACAATGACACCAAGCAAATGGCATGCAGGTTCCTCAGGGAGCGACTGGCTGCCTGGTTACCTGGCTGCTTGGGAGCCAGGCTGGGGCTGCCCCTGGTTGGGTCACTCGCTCTTTGGACGATTTGTTGTTCTGGGTCCTCGGCGTCTTTTTCCTCCAGATGATCGAGCAGCTTATCCAGTGTGGTCTCCAGTGTCTGAGTTGCCTGAGTGCGATCAAATTCTCCTTTCAGTCCCTCTGTCTCCAATTCCTGCTCGGCCTACAACACAGACAGAAGCCAGTCATAACAAAGCTATTTCTTACACAGTGTTAAACTGCAGTACAAATGCTCTCTACACATGTTCTGAAACCTCATTTATGATGTTGTCAAACTCCTTCTGCATTTCCTCCTTTATCTCCTCTATCTTCTCAGAGGGAACCGAGAGATCAGCCATTTCATCTTCAAACTCGTCTAACAGCCTTTCATCCTCGTCCTTCTCCTCCTCTTCCTCTATGTGCTTCTCTGTTAGCATCCTGCTCGCTGCTTTCTCTTCAACGCTTTTAGCTTGGTTTTCTGCTTTCTACAAAATATATAAAGAAATTATTAGGATACTGAGAAACTACAATGAAAAACAAATCTACTCCAGGAGCTTGTTTAAGAAAGCAATACAAGTTTTCATTCACAAATGAAGAACATTTTAAGAAAACAGTAATTCATCTAATATCTGAGGTAATCCATCGTTATCTGAACATATGTTGGTCATCATATTCAGTGGCTGACTCACAGAAACAGTTGGCAAATCATGTAACTTCCTTTAGCAGTTGATTACTGAAAATGTGTGCCTTTTTTTCATTTTCTTTTTTAACAGTCACTACAACTAGATTCTCATTTTTGCCTTCTTAATGCGATAACAAAATCTGACAAATACTGACCTTTCTGTTACTCTCCTTAAGATGCTGGACAAATTTCATTAGATCTGCTGGGTCAGTGATGATTTTAAAGTTGAATTTCTCTACTGAAAGGAAAAGTAGAAATAAAATAGATAAGGCACAGTTTTCAGAATTCCGTTTGGACCAACAGTCCCTAAGAAAGACAATGACGGAGGAATAAAACACTCTAGGGGCCCAATTGATATAATACATTGGTGTGAATGTTAATAAAACTGTAATCTTTGCATGTTGTGATGCAGTACCTTCATCACCATCATCTATGACTTCATTCTCTGTTGGTGAGTTAACGCTACCATCTTCCCCCTGTCAGGAAAAGAATATGTTAAGGTTATGAAATAGGGAGAGAAAGTAAATAAAGACACCCTCTAGTGGCCAAAATGGTACTGAGTGAAAGGGAACCTTTTCACTTTCACCATTATGACCAAAGTGAGAAGTAACTCAGACAGGATGGCTGACAATATTTTAACAAGAATTTAACAATTTATCACAATGTAATCAAAGTTAGAATGTGTGAATATGAAACATTCTCCATATTAACACTGTACATCTATACAAGTTTTTTTTTTTATCCAACAATTAAATCATTTAGTTGTCAGTCAGTTTTCATTTACTGTCAAAGTCTGAACTCATTCATTAGGCAAGACCTCTATCAATTTGAGATTCATTTCCAACATTTATTTTAATACCTCGTTATCCTGCTGAGAGGCTGTCGTTTTTGGATTTCCGGGCTTTGTGACTCCCTCCCAGAAGTCTGAATCTTCTGCCTCTTCTGACACACAAACAGCAAAACAGAATAAGATTGTTTAAGGGCAAAATACTACCAATTTATTTGAGTGTAATTATGTATATGGAAATTTACCTTTTATATCCAACCCGTCATTGTTGGGTGAGGTCGAGGTCTCCTCTGCTGTTACCTCCACTGTTCCATCTGCCCCTTCATTACCAGCCAACATCTCATCGATGCTCTTAAGCTCCTCTGAGATCTGTTCCACTTTACGCTTCGTGTCCGCTGGGAACAGGGAAAGATTTTGAAAAAAAGGAGTAGCACATTTTTCTGTTGTTTGCCTTTTAATCCAAACAATGCAGTTACAATGAGAGTTCCTCAAGTTGCAGATTTTCCATTATCAAACCTTCAAGAGGAAATGGCAACAAACTCGGGGGGGAGAGACAATCTCCAATGGCTGCAAGACCATCACATTCATCTTTTTGCTTACAGACTTTTCACTTACAGACTTGAGCTTTCACATAATCCATGTACTGCTGTGCACTTAGCGCTGGCTGGCACACGATACTCTGCGGCTTGGCAGTAGAAGGTGGTCGCAAGAATGGATGCTGGCAGGTGCGACTGGTGTGAATTGTCAGGACATAGCGGCATGACTGAGGCTCGTCTACACGGGCGATGTAGTCAACAGAGCCTTCTTCACATGCAAACTGAAAATAATGGAGCACAAAGTTCTGTTTACATTCCAGAGCATATAAATCAGATCTTCAACTGATTGAGAATAGAGATTTTAAATATCACACTGGTTTGTCCAATCAGTGAATGCCAATTGCTTTGCCAACTCGACCATGGTGGTTTTATGTCAGTGTAGCAGAGTCAGGGAAAGAAGTAATATTCCAGATACTCTCTTAAATACTGTAACTGAATAAAGTGCTACATTGAGTTTATATTATTGTGTGTCTGACCAATTTATACATTTGCAATAGAGTCATAAGATTGTTGTTGTTATTAATGCATTTCACGACCAAAGCTGTCATTATTTTCATGGTTAGCTTGTCAAAGTTCGAGCAGTTCAGAACTGAGGGAGATGTCTGCCTTTCTGTTCAGCACATTTTCTGATAATTATGCGGGTTAGATCAACTGATAACTGACATAGTATTCATACTTTGCTATCTCATCTTGTCTCCATGTTAAGTTCAGGGCAGGCTGTTTTCTTTCCCATATACAAGAAAAGGTAAGGGTGACAGCTCAGAGAAGCCAAACCTGAAAATACCCGATGACAAAAAGTAACTGGGCATTAAAAATCAAAGAATACCGTCTATTTAAATGTGTGATTACTGCACAGGCTGCTTCTACATATCCAGAATCCGCAAAGGTTTAAAAAAACAAATATAATTGGATAGGGAGTGTTAAACATAAAAACTTAATATAGAGAAACCGACAAAACCACTAAAGGCACATGGGATACAAATGTAACTTCAATTTAAATATCTTACCCGAACTTCAGCCTCTCTGGGATTTCCATTTAGGTCACACTTGGATCCATTTACATAAGTTTGACTGTGGTATCGTTTTAGCTTGTGCTGCTTTGAGGCCTGTGAGATGAACAAAGTGGATATTTTAATTCAACTAACTGGTAATATTCTGAGATTACTAGGACCTATACATGTTGTATGCCAGGTGGTTTATCTCAAAACATACAAAAATCATAAATGTAATACAGTCGTACAACTAAACTAACAGCCTCCAAAATAAAATAAAAAAAACAGCTGGATAGCTGGGTTTGAAAAGTTTCATGTCATTTCTGTTCATTGGAATTTTAAAAAGCAAAACCAGAATGCCTCTAGCTTCAATTCATTATTTGTTTCCATAAAACAGCTTTATGTACAATTTGAACTATTAGTTAGTTTTTTTTACATTTCCTGAAAAATCCGACAGTAAAAAGAAAATACAACTAAAACATAGAGGCATCTTTACCTTTGCTGTTTCATTGCTCCAGTCAAACTCAGACTCATAGTAGCCAAGGAAGAGAATGTCCCCTTTGATTTCTGTGTCTGAAGGGTAAAACATATCTGTCAAAAGAAAGTCAAAAGGAGAAATGCAGTGTGGACTCAAAACTGACGACTGAGCTCACCTTCAAGGTGGTACTGTCTGATATGCTGTCCATGACAAAACTCATATGTCCACCAGTCCTTGGTCTGTAAGAAAGAGACAGCAGATATAGCAATTGTTCAATGACCTCTTCCGTAATCACATGATCCTGTTTGATCTTTTATTCAAATTACTTTTATTTGCGACAACTGTGTCATGTGGACTGGGGAAACAGTTCCTTGCTACGTGACACATTGTTGTAAAAGGCTGGCCACAGTAAAGTGTGCCCATAGATTCCTAAGTTTCATTTCAGTTTCAATCATTTTTCAATGCTTTTTAATGGTACCCTTTGGTTACATAGTTCCCATTTCCAATCGGCTTTTGAATACCGTTTTATAATGTCACTAACCTCTCCCACCTCGATTATCTTTCTTTTGGCGTGCAAAGGAAAAATCAGGTTTGGGCGTTTTAGAACAGCCATGTTTATTTACAACATTTTCTTTTAAGAATAAAATCCTAAAGCAAGTGAGTACACAATCTCTTGTCCAACGTGAAATGAGAGGCATTTCAAATGTTTTGACAAACACTGCCTAATAAGCTATAGGATATGTTGTGATTCAATTCGAGCTATTTTAACATCCGCTTAACCTCAGCCACAATGAATATGCTCAAGAAGAACGCGTCAGTCAAATTATATTTCAGGGACCGCTGTTAATGAATTCAATATAATTTTCAGTGACAAAAAAACAGACACGTTCTTTCATAATCACATTATCATATGATCATCTTAAGTAGTGGAGAAGTGGACCACACACAGATACACAGGGACCTTACCTTTACTAGACATGGGGCTTTGTGCATCGGCCTGAGCAGGTCTGGGATGTCAGGTCCAGCGTATCCCTGTGGGTCAGGCTCAGATGCTGGGTCCTGATGAAACCGGACTGCCTGGGCTGGAAGTCGACACTCGTAGAGTTGTTTATACTTACTGGACACCATCATTACTTCTTCTGTCTTAGTCTGATGAGAGGAAGACTGCCATGAGAAGCTGTGCAGCTTTTTAAACGGCCTCAGTGACATATAAGCAAAACCATCATTATTAATAGACAGTTGACAGCGTGTTGTTGTTTTTTGTTTTCCGTATATTACACACGGGGAAAGAGAGAGGTGTGTTTTGACAGCTGTCAACATACTGCTCTCGCCTCTTGGAAGCAACTTTAGTATTAACTTTAAGTCTCCTTTGTACAGGTTTCTAAATTATCCTTGACCTTGTCGAACGTTTTGGAGATAGATTTATTGAGGACACTTACGCTACATTTAAGTTGAATGGTCACTGTAAACGAAGATATTTAAAGCTAGCAAACAGTGGCCGATATTGTAGCTAGCTACACGTTAGCGTCTATCAGCAGCTCCACTCACCTGGCCCATTATGACGGGGTCAGGAAGAATCTGGATCCCATATTTCATCTCATTCAGCTCCTCCAAATTTAGGTATGCCGGGACACACAGAGGGCATATTAGCACAAAGACGTACAACCTCTTGAGCCATCGCACTAAGGAGGCAGCCATCGTTGACTCTTTCCTCAAACCCCCATCAGTCTCAAGCAACAAAACATGACATGGACGAATTTCATTGGTCGACGCAATTGATACTGCTTTATCATTGGCTAATTTACATGTCTATCAAAATCTGTTTTTGTTTTTTTTTCGGATGCGTTTGTTCAATAAATTAACAGAAATTGGATTGACAGCCAAATTTATTATAATAATATACTCTGTAATAATAATGATACTTTGATTATAAAACTGAATAAATTCAATCTTAAATTAAGAGACACGTTTTCAACTGTTCATGTGTGAATAAAGTTCAGTTAGTTTGTGCTAGTCTAACAAAGCAAAACTCCCATCACTTGGATTAAATTAGATCTTGAGCTGCGTCTGCTATTAATTACTGCAGATAAACACTGATTCACACACCGTGAACGAGCAAAGACGGCCTCTAGCAATAACCACAAGTTATTTTCATTATGACGTGTTGTGCTGGATTCCAAATCAATTTTTAAAAAAATAGAAGCTAAAATATAAACATAAAAAGGCAGTGGGCTGCGCTCTGCCCAATGGTGGGGCTCCAGTGCGCTGCAGCCTCTCTGCTGCAGGGGGAGCATCCGTCCACATCTTCTAGTGTTGCGATGTGCGGCCGTCTCGCTCCTCTCCACACCGTTTCTTCATCTTCATGCAATTCCATTTTCAAGAACACAGAGGATCACATTTATTTAACGGGATCATTTTAGCGCAGGAAGGAGGTGACACGGCAAAAATCAAAAACAAAAAACTGCGTCTTGACTGAGGTGAGCAGCCCGTTCGTGCAACATTTCTCCAATAACTGCTCATTAAAAAATCACCCCGTCCAAAGCGGGGTGTTTGTCAGGATTTCTAGCTCTCTGGTGAGCAGCGGACAGTTTCTTTGCTGTCCCGAAACATAAGAAGAAAGGGGAGATGGTCTTTCCTTTAGAGACAAATGTCTTGATTGAGCGAATGTTCAAATACAATAGATCTTGTTTGTGATGTAAGGCTTGCAATTTAGAGGCAGCCAGGCTTTTGAACGCACATTTTTTCCTCTGCATTGTTGTGTGCTACGATGTAGGCTGAATAGGCCTGTGTGCCTATTTTCCTTTCGCCACCGATGCTCTGCATTTTTGGACAGAGGATTGCATTATTGTTACATTTTTCTGAAGAATGTTGGACAGTAGAGAGCTAGAGGAACAGATATTTTCAGTGTGCCGGCCGTCAGCCAGCAAATCTGTCACGCTCACTTTCGGTGGAACCCAAGAAGTGTTATCCACAGTCCAAAGCCACAAATGCATACCCAGGGAGCGTTTTTTTCTTTTTCTTTTTCTTTTTCTTTTTTTCTTATTCCTAATCCGCCCTGAAATGTATATGCCATTTGACAAAGAGTATTCAAGAAAATAACATTTTAAAAAGACATCCATAGATTATAATCGGTACATAGCCATCAATCAATTTGGGTGTGTCTATGGGGTTTTTCAAGAATGGAGTGATGGAAAAGTCAGACACCTTAGATTTTTGTAAGCCAGGAGAGTTTATTTAGAACCAAATGCATCGCCCAAGGACCGGTTTGATCTCACTCTCACCGACTTGCAGATTACAAAATGCCCAGATAGCGTCTGTGTGTGTGTTTGGTGCACAGTTATGTACACTGCCCATCCTGGACACACTTTGTTTATGAAATGCATGCCTATCCAGAACCTTGGTGTGCATTCCTTTCAAGCTTGGCTTTTATAGATCTTTTCTGTTATTTCTATATCCTGATAAGACATGGTTTTCCCAAAACCTTGATGCCAAAGGTCCCCCAGAGACTTTTGGTCAGTCATGTTCTGCTCATTCTGAATGCTGTTTGCATTCATCTAGACAGGGGGAAATGCTCTTGTAGTCCCACCCAACAGAGAACATGTTATCAACTGTCAACTGGCAGGTTGTATGGAACCCATATGCGAACACTGTGATATGGTCACCAAAATCCACAATGTTCGCTACATGCAACCTTCATATAGATTGTGTTAACGAACCATCGTAACAACAGCTGAGAATAACCTGGTAAGGGGAAGAAATTTTATAAGGAGATGAAGTAGTTCTTTCAAGGTGCATTTCCTATCAGTGATTCTTTAACAGATTTCTGTTTTTTAAAAATTTAATTAAAAAAAGCACAGATGACCAGCCAATCAGTAAGGCTACATTGATTTATTTTTCCTCTTCAGATTGCCATAGAAATATTACACTGGTCTTACCCAAATCCTTCCAGAGTTCCCCAGGGAGATATTTGAATTTATGCATTTAAAAGCATAAGCATCTCTCCAACATAATTTGCTATTATAACAAGTTTCTGTTACCCTCTTTAGATTGTTTTGTCGTCTTGTTTCCAGATGGGGAAGGAGCTTACTCATTCCTGTGACTGTCTGCATGGTTTCTGGAGATGCAGGTGCCAGCAGAGGTTGCCCTTCTACTGACTGGATAAAGCCAATGAGGTATATTCTCAAGACATGTTGGCAACAAGGCGAGCTTTTAAAAGAAATTGTTTTTCTTAGTTGCAATGAAAGATTTACATCAGATATACAATTGATATAAATTGTGCTTAGTATAGTTATATTAATGTGTCAAGATTAAGCACAAACTCAAACTCATCTCTCTTTGTACAATTTGGACTGGATCTCTGTCCCCTCTGGGGTCCCACCTACCCAGGTATCGTTGGGATTTTATTATGCTAGATTACATCATATAGGTATCCTCACTTTTCCAGGACAGACTTGATGAAATCTTATAATTTATGTTTTGTCAACTTAGTTTTGTCGTTAACAAATGCCACTCCCCACAATGCATCTGTGGGACCATGTTAACAACCCACAGCTACTGCTGAGCTATTTTGGCTCAGTAATGACAGACAGACACAGACAGTTGCTCAAACTGGGTTTGCCCACATAGCTAAGAGATTAATGCAGATCCAAAGGGGGGAAACAAAACATTGGAACTATAAAATAAATAAAAGGTGATAGGAATAGGGCAAAGAATAATTGCCAGCTGGAAAAATGACTTCCCATTAACCACTGAAATGCAGACTTTATTCAGTAAGATGGTAATCCAAAAGGTTTATGGGAGGTTTTATGTGTGGCTGCATTAGCATTCCTCTGTCTGTGTGAAAGTAACGTGCTGGCGGTGAAGCTAATAATGACAAGCAATACTGTCGAGCAGAAGGATTAGATACCAAACAAATCTGCCATCCATTTCTATCTTGAATGTTGCAGATTGACACTGCTGTGTAGACTGAGCAACATAGTATCTGGAAAATCTTTTTCTAACGTCTTGCCAAAGATGATTTAAATGCCCTTAGCAGCTGGATAAATCAGGAGGTGTGAGGCAGAAAAAAATCATCCCATTGAACCATTTAAGAAAAGAAAAAACCTGTCACACAACCAGTTTACATGGAGTCTCATCAACATCTCTTGTACAATGACATTAATCTTTAAAGTACATAACTTAGTTCTTCAATTTGCAATGGTCTCTTCTGAAACCTTTAAAAAGGTGTTCAAGCTAAACGCTTCCCTTGGGGGCCTGAACACAGCAGAGGAAGAGACAGAGGTAAATTGTTTCCACATCATCAGTTAACTTGAAAACATCTATTTAAACACTTTTTTCAAATATTATTTGTTATACTTGTATTGTATTTATTGATTTAGTTTATATAACAGGTCAACATCAGCACCAGCTGAGAAGAAACTGCCTAAAAACAACCACAATCTGAATGAAATACTTCAACCTCGTTCTGTGTAATCTGTACTTTATGAACATGTAAATGTTACAAAATAGGCAATGATTACCTTCATTATAATCACATACTACCCATCTATGATAAACAGCTCCACAGTTCTTTTTTTCATTCTTTATAAAAGTTCAGCTGCGGTGGACTGGCAACCTGTCCAATATGTACCCCTCCTCTAGCCTGTCGTCAGCTGGGATAGGTCCAGCCTCCATCCAACTGGATGGATGGATAAAAGTTCACCATTGAGTACCTAAAGAATTAATATGGTGCCTTAGCACCCACGTTTCTTTTTCATGGACAAAACAAATAGGTCTGGGTAATGTCCTTGTTATGTTGTCACATGTCATGAAGATTTAAACAAGAGGAGTTACAGCCACCTGTGAGTGACTCAAAGTATGTATGCATATCTCCCAAAGGTTTTAGGATGTGGTCTCTGAGAAGGACAGTGCTGCTTGCCATCCTGGTGTCTGTGGTGCTTGTGTTGGCTCTCCTCCATTCGTGGCCCACTCGTGCTCACACGCCAGTGAATTTGTGGCAGCGACTCGGACCAGTTTTAGAGAGGCATCTGGAAGAGAGGCTCCCAGAAGCAGACCACCAGCTAAGCAATATCCCCATCCATGTTAGGGATAGTGTAGCAAGGTAAGGCTTTCTGTTTTAAAGTCAGAAATGTATTTTATTTAAAAAAACACAGTGGGCTACAGTCTGGTTACTAATGCCTGATACTCTGTTCAGCTTGCTGGCTCGTAATGGGTGCATATGTGAGGGTGAGAGTGGAAGAGTGAACCTTCCCTTTGCCCAGCTCTTATTCCCACGGGTGTCAGCACACCCACTGCACACTGCCTTTGATTCCTCTGAGCTGGAAGAAATGAAGACAAGACGAGCCAAAGAGTACATGAGTTTTCAGAAGAGGTGAGCCTCATCAGTATAAAAGACGGATCGCATTTCATTGAGTTCCACCAAATATTACTGTAACCGGGTGATTTTATGAATCCAAACAATCTATATGTTGGTTTAGATATGATAATATATTTGTTACCTATACTGCCACTTCACCTTTATTAAACTTGGAGATGCTTGACTAACATAGGTGATGCTTTTTTAATTAAAAAAAAAATACCACAGTGATCAAAGTAATGACTCATATCACTCTGTGCAGACATTTTTAATGCCAGTAGAACTTAATGATCATGTAACTGCTGTCTTTTGTTTGCTTAATTTGTCTGATATGCTTTAATGTGCTGCTATTTAGCTCTTTATTGCTTTTTTTTCTTTGACAGTTTGTTTTCAAATTTCACAACACCTTTCTCACTTATGCTATTCATCAATATCTCTGTGTGTCTCTCTAACCAGGTCAAAGACACCTGCCGATGTACTCTTGATTGCAGAGGCAAACAGTCCCTTACAGTATCCCTACCAGGGGTTGGAAGTGCGGCCCCTGAAAACAATCATCATCCCAGGTATGATTTAGGTTCAAAATTTCATTTGAATCAACATATTATTGATATACAATTTTAAAAATATTGAAGCTCTTTTAGATGCAAAAATAACAGGGTGCAATCATTTGTAAATGTCAAAATGCAATATTTTGTTCACCATAAGACAGAAAATATCAAAGAAATCAAGAACTTTTATATAGGCTCACAGTTTAGTGGCAGCAACACATCCGAAAAACACAGTTTAAGTGTGGTCCCTCCTCTTGTTTTAAAGACTGTTGGGGAACGGAGGGATCCAGCTGTTTAATGCTTGAGAGATAAATGTCCCGTTACTGCCTGATATAGGTTTCAGGCTTGTGAACAGTCCGTGATCTTTTTCATATTTTGTGATTCTTGATAATCCTAATGATGTTCCAAATTCAGTTCAGGTGAAAGGTCTGGGCTCCGGATGTCCAGTCCAGGATACTGACTTTACACATCAAAGTCATGGTGTAGCAATAGATGGAGGATATGGCTTAGCATTACACAAGGCCTACCCTTTTATTTTATTAGCTGAAATTCTCCCACAAATTGACGTTCATTTGCTCATTGATTCAACTTTGTTTAATTCAACCTTCTTAAGGCTCTACCTTGCTGAGGTGCCATTTTTACACTGAATAATGGTACTGCTCTGTTGGGTACAATGTGTTTGTCCAGGACTGCACGGTGGTGTGGTGGTTAGCACCATCACCTCACCTCACAGCAAGAGGTTCAAATCCACGGGGGATTGGGGACCTGTGTGTGTCCAATTTGCATGTTCTGCTCTCTATGGGTAATCACACTCCTGTGGTTTCCTCCCACAGTTGAAAACCATGCACGTTAGGTTGACTGACGACTCTAAATCACCCCTTGCAGTGAATATGAGTGTTCCGTTGTTTGTCGCTGTCGGTCCCTGTGATGGACTAACCTGTACAGAGTGTATTCCACCTCTTTCTCGATGACGGCTACTAGGAATTACGGGTATAGACAACCTATGGATGTGTGGATTTTCTTTTCCTGCTGTTAAGTTTTTTAAAACATCCAGAAAATATTTTTTAAGAGCATTTTTTAGTTCAGCAAGACTTTCTCAAACCACAATTTGCACGTATTACAAAAGCACAACTCCATACAAGAATAGCCCAGCTCATGGCCTGAGTTCAGATCAAAGACCCAAACAGTTGAGCTTCTGAAACCTACATCAGGCTATAATGGGTAAACATTTAGCTTTTATCAAACAGGGTATTCCAAATCCAGTATGGTCCATCAAATTCCTTTTCCTACTGCTAGACCATCAACATTTGTTTCTGTCTTTCCAGGCTTGGCATTACATGACCATCCCAGAGACAGTTACTCTGTGAGTATTTCAGTGGCTAGTGTTTTTCATATTTCGAATGTCTGCGGACATTCTAAATAGACATTCTCTGTTTGCCTTTGCAGGTAAACATCAGTGTCACACTGGGAACTCTAAACGTAGCAGCAGAAGTCGATGGGGTGAAAATCAGAGGTGATGGTGAGATGCACATGACTCTCATGAGCAGCTTACTGCCCAATCTGAACCGGCAGCTGCAGTTTGTCACCTACACCAACACACTGTTCCATCCCAGCACGGCAGACACAGGTAAGATCGAAAACTCAGAGCAGCTGTCCATTTGCTCTGGAAGCTCTCATTCTGACTTTTAAGGCAAGGTGAGAAAAATGTGTTTTCATAACACAATTCAATAAGATCATAATCCCAACAGTTTGATTTAAAAGAAGCAAGAATTAATACAAACTTGAAGCTATCTGAGAGTTTGTCATTTTTAATTAATGATGCATAAAACTGACTCTGTGAAGGATTTATAACCTGGCTGTTGAAATCCACATCCATAATAATGCCCAAATATCTGGCTTGGCTCAGTTTTCTTCATTCCAGGCCAAAGTTGAACACAAATGTTTAACTTTACTTCTGGGAATTCAAAGACATGAAGCTCTGTTTTGCATTTGTTTATGTAAATGAAATGCTGGCGCTGATCTCACTGTCAGTGTTTGTGAAGGAATATAAACTGAATCAGCATGTGTTTCTGTGTCAAGAACTGGTTAAGCTTACTGGCAATTAAAACACTGTTCAGGAAGTTCCATTCATTGTCCATATGAATCAATGTCTGAAAAGTTTTACCATATATACACTTGTTAACTATGTACGCGTCTATAGTCTTTTTTCCTTTTGATGCTGTTGAATAAGCTGTTGTAAATCCCATCATGTGCAAACTTTGCAGAGGTGTTCTTTTATGGGCGGAGCTTTGGAGTCAGTCAGGATGTTGTCTAATTTTGCAGCTTTTTTCTTCTGCTTTGATTAAGAACCCACAGTAATGATAACAAACAATAAGAAATACATAAAAAGATTGATATGCTATATTAGCCAAACCTAAAAAAAAATGTTGGTCCACTTGACATTATTACAAATCAAGCTTCCGAAACCTGATCTGGTTATTGTGTATGTATATACTAAAGTAATTCCAAATGGGCCTAGGCACTCATGATATACTCTAATCGCAGTCTTTTCTTTGTGCAAAAAAACAAAACATCGTCAAATGGATGTATAATGGAAACATTGATTCACATAAATATAGCCTTTAAAGGCTGTACATTTAAATGTTTTGCTTGAGACAGCCTCAGGTCACACTGAACATATTAAATGATGTGTGTTTTAGTGCAGTTTGAGACAGAGGGGCATCAAACTGTCTTCACAATCAAGATCCGTCATGGTGTGACTCCGAAACTTTACAACACTGGATCTAAAGGAGGTACAGCTGTTTCATTTTGTTTTCATTTTGTCTGTAACCGAAAACAACTTCTGTAAAGACAGTGCCATCTATCTGTTGTCCGCAGAATACAACATCAGTGCTCTGGTGACAGTAGCTACAAAAACTTTCTTGCGCTATGAAAAACTTCAAAATCTTATCGACAGCATCAGAAGATACTATCCCACCGTCACTATTGTGATAGCGGATGACAGCGAAAATCCAAAAACCATCTCCGGGCCTCACATTGAACACTACATCATGCCCTTTGGAAAGGTAGGAAATGCACCCTGGTCGGCTTTTGTTCTACATGGTCTGAATACGAACTTTTGTGTCTTTTGTCATAGGGTTGGTTTGCTGGACGAAACTTAGCCGTCTCCCAGGTGACCACAAAGTATGTGCTATGGGTGGACGATGACTTTGTCTTCACAGCCAACACAAAGCTGGAGAAACTTGTAGACATTTTAGAAAAAACCACCCTGGATCTGGTGGGTGCCTAATTAGTATAATTCTGAATGCTATGACAAAGAAGAAAGTGTGTGCATGTTTTTACGTGTGTCTGTGTGTGTGTGTGTGTCTGAATGTCTAGGTGGGCGGTGCGGTGCGGGAAGCCACAGGGTACACTGCCACCTACAGACAGACCATTTCCATTGACCCAGGAGAGGAGGACGGTGACTGTTTACACCTCAGGAGAGGATTCCATCATGCCATCGAAGGCTTCCCCAACTGCGTTGTGACCGATGGTGTCATTAACTTCTTCTTAGCTCGCACTGATAAAGTTCAGCAGGTTGGATTTGACCCACGTCTTGCCAGGGTAGCTCACCTAGGTGAGTGCAGCAACACACTGTGTCAAGTGACATGATTGTATGCACGCAAAGACACATACATATGATTATATGAAGTGTTATTTAAAGGATAGTTGATAATAAAATCATAAGATGATCAACTCTATATATGAGAAACATGTTGTGCTGGATGTGATGTATGTTTTACCTGTAGTGGCAACATTTGTCCTTTTTTGCTCAGTTACAATTGCACCAAATCTGGAAAATATTTCATGATAATATGTAATATACCGTAATCATGACACATATGAACACCCTTGTAATCGTTTAACACTTAAAAAAAAAATATGGCTAACTTAATGATCAAATATATTGCACCAGTAATACATGTCGGAATTGCATGAATGACAGTTTACTTCCAGGACTCACTTTAAAATGTGGTCACACTGTTGCGGATGATCTAAATATGGTTTGGTGTTACTTCAGTACAGGAAATGCTCCCCCCAGCAGTTCTGTGAAACCCTTTGGTTGAACCCTCATTCCTTTCGTATTACATTAAGAGCCAGACTTTCATTTGATATTTCAAGTGGTTTCTAATAATAGTTTCTTTGGATTTTTTCTAAAAGTTGTTCAAAGTGATTGTTTTGTTGTTTTTTATTAATTCCTTGTACAGTATTGATATCAAAGGAAAATCCTTTTTGTTTGTTTGTTAAGCTCTGACCTATGAATATTCAATCAAAACAAGACCGAGTTGACTCAGTGTAGGTTTCATTGGAACAGCGGTACCAACAGGAAAAGGGAAAATCTGAGTCATGCTGGACCAGACAAAAACAGAATATTTGTGTAATCAGTTCCAGATATGAACATTTGTGAAGCAGTGTGGGATCAGCAAAGCAAAAAACGTCCAACATTCAAAAAAAGCTTGGAAATGCCTTTTAAGAGCCCCGGATGTTATTACTTTTCATTTTAACTTTGCCTGGTTTTCTCCTGGCAAATTCTCCCCAATAGTGTGTGTTGTGGTTTCCAAAGCTTCCAACACATCATACCACAACCCCACAATCAGTGTGGTACAACTCCTGCCTATGAATTAAGAGCAACTGAAAAAAGGGGCCCGGCTTTTGTATTTATGCTTGCATGTTTCAGTAAATTACCACACTTAGTTCTATATTTTTGTGCAACATTCGAGCACAAATTGTATTGTTTGTGTTCTATTTTAGAGAAGTTCTGAGTTCAAATTAGGGTGTACAAATCCCTTCTGTTTCATTTCTATTTTCCACAATATCTCAACAGAGGGTGGTGTATCTGTGGTAAGAGTATTTTTTACATGACTGGTGTCTTTCAGTGATAGTTACCAGGTTCAGTGAACATGTTTGTCTTTTTTTTTGCTTCTATAGAGTTCTTCATTGATGGCCTGGGATCTCTCCACGTTGGCTCCTGTGATGATGTCATTGTAAATCATGCAACCAAAATCAAACTCCCATGGGTCAGCCAATCAGAGAGTGACAAGACATACGCCAAGTTCCGATATCCACCAGCCTCGTCTGATGCCACGCGCACAAAAAACGGGCTCCTGTTCTTCAAGAATCGTTTTCAGTGCTTGACTCATAATTAGGTTTCCCCCTCCTCATCCTGAAGGTTCCTCTGTTCCTCCTAAGTTGCCAAAGAAGTTGTTCTCAAACTCACCCTGTCAGATAAGAACGGTGGTTAACATATTGCTTTGCCTTTCCTTTATTTTCGTTGGATTTTTTTAATGCCTTTGGACTTGACAGCAGTTTTAGCATGTTTCACTTGGACGAGCGCAACTCTGCAGTGAAATTAATAAAAGAAGTGTGTTCTTAAAAAATATTAAAGCTCTGTTCTATTCTGAAAACAGTAAACAGCTTTAATAGTTAAATCACATTATGATATTGACTAATGTCATGTTGTAGAGGGATTTTGCTTTATCATTTCTTTTTCTGACATTTTGGAATTTTCCAGCACAAAGGAAAACAGTTAAGGGAGTATCAGGACGATTTGTCTCTCTTTGTCATCCTTCTGTTCTGTGGCAATACAGTTTCTGCTGCTTGGAAAAACAATATTTGCATCTTAGAGCTTGACAAGAAGAACTCTGTTGGCAAGGACAAAGACACAATTCATAGAAAAACACAGTCCTGTAGACCAGGAGCAGAAAAACCCACAAAATGTACACATTCAAACTGTTTCTTGTGTTGTTCATAAGCACCATCACTGACTGGTCAGATGGTTTTGTGACGTTTTAGGTTTTTACGATTTGTCTGCATAGTAACCAAGGGTTCACATTTTTATTTAAGTGGGATAAGTCCCATCTGGGGAGGAGAAACCTTTGATTTTCCATTTGGAATCACACCTTTTGTGGTCTGATCTGGAAGCATGTGCTGCTTCCGATCACTAACACGAATCAGAAAGAAAGGAACGTGTGTCATTCCACTCTGATGAGGCACAGGGCACTCAATTGTTACTTGCCGCGTAAAACTAATTTGTTTGATAATTATCTGTCATAAAACACATAATGAGCAATCAGTGTCAGAGGAAGACTGTAAGACACAGGAAGAGAAAGAAGAAAAGGACCATCCTGTGTACTGTGAGATTCTGTGTGTGCTGGAGTGCATTACAGTGGTGCCTCAAGTGTCGACATGGGTCTTCTATACCGTGATCTTCAGATGGAGTCCTTGAGTCCCCGTGTTGTTTCCTGATAAGTCAGATAACCTTTTAACAGTCAAGTTTGCAAACAACAAATGGGTGCCAGTGATTTCAGCTTTTACTTATTTATTTTTTGATGGGAAATAGACAGAAAAGTATTTTGTGATATTTTCCTATATAGTTTTTTTTATTTACTTATTTATTTTTGCTTTTGTTCATGAACACAGGATGTTAAATGGGATCTTACATTCAGAACTGAACTTTAGTAAAGCTGGAAACATCTGTTGTGTTAACACAGAAACCACTGATATAAATAGTAGTATCAATAGCATCATGGGTCATTTTTAGTTTTGTATGTTATTAAAATGTCTGGAAAAAAGTACTTGCGTTATGTTTTTGGGAAGGAGGCTCAAAGAACTTTATTGTTAAATAAATCATGAAAAACTCTTATTCCTTAAACCAATTTGAATGAATGGAGAATGCAATTTGCAAGTATGCAGGATTACTGATAAAGTGTCAACAGACTGCTTGCAACAGACAAGTGTGAGAGCCTCACTGTTGTGATCCTGTTGGTTGGAAAACGAACGCTTACTAAAACACATAAATCTTGAAATGTAATATCTTGAAATCTGTTTCAGCAGTTATTAAGACACAAGAGCGCTTTCTAGTAGTAAAACACGAGGAAGGCGTCATGCTGTGGTGTTTTATTGCTGCTATAAGTACCTTTTGCAACAAATGATCACATCAGAAGTCCTTTGCTTCATTGTAAGGCAAAACGTATTACCATCTGGCAGAAACATTTTGAGATGAGTGCCAATAATTCTGGCCAGAGTTGACCAGTGTTTTAAGAATGTTCACTATTGTGCGTGGTTTTACATTTCTAGTCTTTGGCCGCTTTGGGCATGGTGCCTTTGTTTGTATCTATTGCTGAAGATCATTTGAATATTCTAGATATTTTACTTGCAAATGGGAGCTGGGTATCAGGTGATTCAACAGCTCATCTGCTACAGCTGACCATATCTGCATGATAAACTAATAGATTGAATCAGCAAACTTTGTATTTTTATTTTTTTGTTAAAGTAAAGTCTTTTTGTGAATTTCAACACAAATTCACTATTTCTGAGCCAGAAAGAGGTGTTCCTGCAAAATAGCAGTGAGAATGGCGAACTGCTGAATGACTGGATCAGATGATGATGAAAAAGCTCAAAGGCAGGATAAAAAAAGAATGAAAGGCATTGGATTTTTTGTGTGTCCGCTGTGAGAGCTCCTGTGTTATGTCTGTTATTTTTTCTGCCATGATCAAAAAAATATGCAGAGCCATGTGCCTTAAAGACCAGGATTGGGATACACTACCCAACGTTCTAAACCTCAAACAAACACCAACACTACGGTTATCACCTAAATGACATTGAAGGGAAAGTGTATTTTTCCCACAGTCATTAGATTTTTTTTTTTTTCAAGGTGGCTACTTAAAAAAACAAACATTTTTAACAAAATTGAAAAAACACATATGAAAAAACATGTATATAAATTGATACGTACTTAAATATATATACATATTCTAAACCGCACGTAGTTGCATTCAGTGCACAGGTGCTGATGTACTCAGAAGTGTATTTTCACAACAAAGACCTTTGGAAAACGTGACAGGTTTCTTTGACTTTAAATGTCGCCACTCAAATTCTGTGCTGAAGTGATTTCATAGTTAAATTAGCTAAAAGAGAACAAGTACATCTACATTTTAAGTCATACTTTCTATATGAAAATGGGGTGTGGAAGTTAACTGAAGGTGTAATACACAATCATTGAGAAATATTGAAGGAGAAAACATGTAGATCATTTTGAGATGTAGATCATTTTTAGAGATGTTCAGCAAAAATTGCTGAACATCTCTAAGAGAAATGTTGTTCAGTTACAGCAAAATGCCCTGATATTGTTTAAAAGTTGAATGGTTATTCTATTTTTTTTTAAAGTCTTTTTTTTTAAAGGTGCAGCTCAAAAGTCAGAATAGAGAGTCAATGTTATGCATGACAATGTCTTGATGAAAGGACTGAAACTGAAATTCATAAAGTCATGTCATGATATTTTCCAACCACTAGAGAGCAGTATACACCAACTCATTGATTAGATTAGACATTTTCATGGCCATTAACCCTTCAAATTTTAACATTCTCTGTAAAATAACTGTTATTTATATACAAGTGGCATTTGAGAATTTAGTGTTTTTTCCTTGTAAAGAAAATCAGTCGGTACTGTGTCATTATTCTCTGGTATGTGCTTGTGGTTTTATTTCCAAATCCATAACAGTGGGTACATGGAATGGGTAAAGGTTAAAAACAAATAAAATGACAAAAGAAAAGGAGGAAAAATATTCTCATACTGTATTTATGACATTGAAACACACATTTCATGCTTCAACAATAAAGAAACATTAAGGAACTTATTAGAAAAATATCTAAACAGCATTGCTCTTCAATATTGTATTTGTATCAAGACTCAGATTTTACTGATATGAACTCACGCTAAACTATTTACATCTCAAATGAAAATGACAAACGAGCACCTCAGTTAAATCTTTGTTCCCTTTTTCCTTTTCTGCTTGCTTATGGCATTAGCTTTGTGTCAGTTTACAAATGTGTTTGGTCCAGATAACACTCACAATGGCAGGGCTGAAGTAGTCCACCAAACGGAAAATACAGCTATTTGATAATGTGCACAGATGCATTGAAATCCCTTGAGTTAAACTGGAAGTTAGAGCCACTCAGTAATTACAAGGATACAGTTATTTGTGGACCGCACTGCATCAGGGGATTTGACATCTTCGTTCTCAAGGGAATCAACTGGAACTGGTGCTTTGTGAAAAATATCCATTACAAAAATATCCATCAAGGAATTTTGAGTGGACGGAGTAAGAAATGTTCAGATTCACAACATAAAGCAACACAAAAGAAGTCTTTTTAGTGTTTTCAAATCATGTTCTCATACATTTCATCTCATCTGTAATCACAATCCACACATGCTGCAGGTGTATTTGCAGTACGTGCTCACACACACACACACACACACACACACACACACACACACACACACAC